AGATTATAATTTTTCAATTATATGAGCTTGTAGGAAATATTAGTGTTTGTAACTTACATAAACTCAAAGCAGATGTACACAACAGATGTACATTTCTATTCCAAACAAAACACTCTGGTTACAAATATGTAGTATAGAAATATCTTAATCTCTGATGGGTTTCTATCAAAATAGTAAATCATGAGATATATTGTACTGTACTAAGTTTTGTTTCATATAAAGTGCTTGGAGGGAATACTGTACTGTATAGTGCATATAACTAATGTAAGTCAGGTGTGCCTACACACCATGGATACTGTAGTACTGTACTGTACTCTAGTCTGAATGACAAATATGTGGGATGCAGCAATAGTGTTTCCCCTAATGATGAGCAATGAATGTGAAGACAAATAAAGGGTAGACAATAACAGGCACAAATTGCAATAAGAATCAAAGAAACAGTTAAAATGTAATAACAACACTTATCCTCAGGAGGTTCAGCTAGCAGCAAGAAACTGAGAAGGGTTGAGTCATTGCCCAAGGCTTTGAAACCAACCTCTGGATTAGGATTATGAATCTCAACGTGACTCCATGAGAAGGCTGTTTGAAGCATATAAACTGTCGGCACTGATGGTGTAATTCTACCTATTAAAATAAGCATTCCCACTCACCATAAAAGCACATGTGTGGCTTTGAGGGTTAAAAACGACACCAAGTTTCATATTTAAACATTTAAAATTGCAAGAACCAACAGCTGAGACATATATACTGTACTGCACTGAACTCCTTCAGACAAACACATGGCACAGTGACCAAACCCCAAAGCCAAAACTGCTACAGGGGTAAAATACCTCAAACCTGGATATGATTACGTAAACAGGTTTTATACATTATAAAATTTATATTAAAATATCTTGGTTGAAAAATTAATTTAAACTCCAGAGAATTTTTAAGGGTCTTTAATATTCACTAATGATTATCTCACACATCTATATCCCACAAAAGTAATCTTCACATTAATTTTGACATGCTTCTCCAAGCTATTTAAAAACTTAATGTTTTGCACCCGTGGAAAATATTTCTGACCTGAGTCATCCTACTCTCCCCTATTTTTGTACAGTCATTCTCACTTATTTCTTCAAGACTGCCAACTATTTCATAACCTTTCATTATTAACCAAAATCATGGCCTGACCAACAACTCTATCACAACCTTGATTCTCAATGTTTTGGTCTAAATGAAAGGCTGGACTCTTAATGAATTGTTCTCCACTGAAAGTTTACTGTGTTGCTACTAATTAGAGCTGCTGTTGTGTTACTTATCTGAAAATAAGAAACACAATGAGTGAAATAAGAAAAGAAAGAGTATGGTAGGTCAGCCATAACCATGAAACACTCGCCAACAATCACAACTACTGTACATTTTTTAATCAATAAACTGCACATCACAAATACTGTACACTATTGTGATTACCATAAAAACTCGATCATTATAATGATTATACAGTATAATTCAACAAGTCTTTATAATGTATTAAGAATAAAAAATTATGCTGATGTTATTTTAAATATACAATAGAAGATTGTATACCCTTGCAAAGCACTGGATCCAAGGTTGTTTATTCCCATCTCCCTTTAAAACCAGTGAACCTTCTGAACTAAAAGTGTAACAACACAAAATATTTATGGTACCTGTACTACTTGCAATTATTCAAATATGCAAATTACGGAAAGTTATTAAGGAAATCGAAAACAAAACTACTTATTGAAACAAATCTTAGAGAGATGTGCTCTATCACCTCAACATTCATACAGAATATACTAGATGGCCTGGTCCTGTACCTCAACACAAACATACAAACTATACCTGGTACAAGCCATCAACACGCACACACACACACTTCCTACAAGCACTTACATCACCACCTACCGCTATTACTTACATGGGCAGACAACAAACACACGTGATTCTTATAAGTGCTTACATCAACATGAACTTGCTACTTACAAAAGCAGGACAGCACAAGCATCTGTTATCAACAAGCACATATAACCGAATTTATCAATTAGCCCTCAGCATATTATCTACAAGCACTCAACATAATATCTTCAAGCACTCAACTTAACATTATCTACAAGCACTCAACATAACATTATCTACAAGCACTCAACATAACATTATCCACAAGCACTCAACATAACATTATCCACAAGCACTCAACATAACATTATCCACAAGCACTCAACATAACATTATCCACAAGCACTCAACATAACATTATCTACAAATACTCAACATAACATTATCCACAAGCACTCAACATAACATTATCCACAAGCACTCAACATAACATTATCCACAAGCACTCAACATAACATTATCCACAAGCACTCAACATAACATTATCCACAAGCACTCAACATAACATTATCTACAAGTACTCAACATAACATTATCTACAAGTACTCAACATAACATTATCCACAAGTACTCAACATAACATTATCTACAAATACTCAAGCTTTCGTATCTACAAACATTCAAAATAGCCTTTTTTATCAACCAGCTCTTACATACTGTATACTGTACTAACCATGGATGTAACGCTCACATATAAGCACTTAACACTTACCAGTTATCTACAAGCAACTAAAATAACAAAATACAGTATAGGATTTATGACAACTCGAACTCGGGACAAGTCGTACCCACTTCGTTGATACTGTAGTCGATTTTCAACCTTATTATTACTGTTAGTATTATTATTATTGCTATTATACAGCAATTTGTAAGTGCTCCATACAATTATCACAAACATGGGCTTATATCAAACAAGCTGACAATCAGGTGTTACATGCTTAATTGTCAGATCAGAGACAATGAGTGGTTAGGTTACAATATTGTTAATTTCCAGCTCTCGTTCATTTTTTACCAAGTGCTGACGATGATGACTTCTGCGCCTTATCCTTGGTCAGAATGTGGTTTCACTTAGTCAGGACCTTGTTCTGTGATATGTGTAGCAGATGGCAACATAGGACTTGCGGCATTGGAATGCAAAGGGAAGAATATCGACAATTAATAAGACGCTTAAGGAACGGCGAAGTATTCAAATGGATTTGCCCTGATTGAGCTGTTACCACAGACGTTGAAGTAACCGAGCCATTGGTTACAAAGTTGACAGCAATTGAATTCAATTTCAATTGTTTATCCCTTGATAGAGGAAGCGGGATCCTAGTGCTGTCACTAGGTACCCCTGTACAATAACACCAGAAGCATCTGGCAAGTGTCACAAGTACAGTATATACAGTATAAATAAATATTATAAAGGGGCTTGCTAAAGCCTCAGGAAGGAAGGAAGGATATTCCTTTAACACAAAATCTATGTTATTTACATAACACCTGGCCAGTATGGGGAGGATCATCGTGTCTCCGTCAGGGGGTCGTGGAGTGGTGGTCCAGCAGGCGTCACGGAAGCGTTGTGTGTGGGGACATCTTAGGAGGTAGTGGATAAGGGTGCGGCTGTCGGGTCTTCTGCATAATGCACAAGAGCGTTGCTCAGGGGATGCGGGGATACCAATCTCCCAAGCAAAGTCATACCCAATGATGATACAGGCAGCAATCACGTCCCTTTTCCGCGGCCCTTTCCCATACACATACGAAAGGACAGGAAGTTTACGGAGGACATCGTACCAGGTGGGCGGGGAGTCCAGGGCGATGGCTGCTTCATGAGCTTCTCTCTGTTTGCGGCAAATTTGGGTCCTAAGCTGTAAAAGTGTTCGAGGAACAACGTAGTCAGGTGTGGCCTTGTTGCAGCCAGTCTTGGCAAAGCCATCTGCTGCCTCATTCCCCAAGATACCTACATGACTGGGTATCCACAGGAATGTCAGAGGACGGCCTGCATCCTGAAGTGTGGATGTTAACCCTCGTATTCGGAGGATGAGGTCCTTATTTTCCCCTGATCCAAATGCGATCCCATCGAGAGCAGACCTGGAATCGCAGCAGACAAACAAGGGGCAGAAACCATCTGCTTCTTTCTCAGCGATAAGGGCAGCAAGGAGGGCTATTAGTTCAGCCTGAGTGGAGGATGCCCCGTCAGAAACTCTGAGAGAAAGTTTGATAGGCTCAGGGGCAACAGGACGGAAGATGTAGACACCAGCCCCGGCCCGACCTGTAGCGGGGTCAACAGAGCCATCAGTGTAGAGGACGACCCTACCTGGGGACCAGTGGGCCAGCAATTGAAGACTTTGATGTTCAGAAGACTATAGAAGAGGCTAGCTGCTAGACAGTGCCAACTTCACAAGTGGTGGGATCAATATGAAGAAAAACATATCACAACAGCACAGTTTTTAAGATCCAGCATGATTTTAATGCCATTTTAGGCTGGACCCCTTTGTACTGATGAATAAACATTTTAACTCACTACCTGTGTACCATAAACGAATTCATGGAGGCAACTGTACTTTATATATTTGGGTAAGAGTTGACCAGGTAAATAGGTACAACTTGATATGTTCCACTGGAAAGAGTACGAGTTGTCCTGCACCCAAAAATATATACGTACATACCTGGTACACTCAATATAAGACATTACATACACGCAATCAATGTGACATCATATATACATGCACTCAACATAACATTATATATACAAGCACTCAAGATAACACATTATATCATGTACTCAATAAAACATTATATACAAGCACTCAAGATAACACACAAGCACTCTGGGTCACACTCTGGGTCACCCCCGTCCAGTATAACACACAGGTACCAGAACAATCTTTAAGCTGACACGTATTTATAATTTTCCACTAAACCAAAACTATAGCGTACATATAGAAGATGGTAGAGGTATACTCACCACCACACACTCATACACCATCAACACACTCACCATAACACTCACTACACAAACAAACATGCCCAATATCCAACAGGTTATTGAGCAATTGTTAAAGGGTGTTGGTGGAGAGGATGGGAGGAAGGGTGTCGACGTTTTCGTCTCTTTTTGGACTCACTCGGTGCCGGTGTGGTTATCATGGTCGTTGGTCTGCTCGATGGCCCCCGGTGGCAGCTTCAGGTTGAACTTATTCTTTGACAACATGTTCCACAGAGGCCCAGACGTCAGTTATTGATTATGACCAACACACTAACAGACTCGCCTCAACCCGAGTGAGGTGCATTCGGGAAGTAAGGGTCGATGCACTTTATCTAGATTTACGGGTAATGCTCAGTTCTCATTGGTCCCTTAGCGGAAAGAGAGCCAATGAAAACGCCTCTTGGAGGACTGGCGCTACAGTTTTCTAACTAAAGGTGTGTCTCAAACAAAAGAATTCGAGTCTGAGTGACGTATTTATTTAAAGATTATAAATTAAAGATTGGTAATGTGATTCAACGCTCAAGTAATATATATTTAATTCAAAAGAATGTGTTTAATGTAATAACACAAGATCGTTAATAAGTGTCCTGCTATCCCATTCATTTATGGTGAATGTCTCTGGTCACTAATATTCCCATTTACCAATTTTGACCATTTCATGATCATTGTTATGGGTCTCTTTGTTGAGGATTTTGCTAAAATTAACAATATTTGTCTTTTAAAGACTTTAAACTACAGGTATATTAAGTCTTGTTTATCAGATAATCTTTCTGAATAAAATTAATTCAACATATGATAACTTTGTGATGCTTGGGTTTATTATGTCATAGTTATTTCCTGTTACAAAACATAATCTGCTGTGTCTGCCACCAGCACAGGGCTCGGCTGGTGGGGAGCACAGGCTAATAATGTTGATTCATTCACCCTCCTCTGAGCCATATGTGACCAGCTAATTTTATACGAGTTGACATTTCCGGTTCCTTGCTTTATGTGCCATATTTTTGCTATGTGTCTTTTGATATCCATGACTTATTTTATGCATTGTGGTGATAATATACAAGGAGTGCATACGGTAGATGAATTCAAATGAGTTCTAATCAGGAAATGTAATATTTTTATGAATGAAACAAGGTTAGCCAGGAAAGCGAATGAATGAGAATTCCGGTTAATAGAACAAGAGATCGCGGGTTGCCTGCTTAAAATATTTCAGAAGTCGTGTGTGTGTGTGTATATATATATATATATATATATATATATATATATATATATATATATATATATATATATATATCACTGGTGTGGGGTGAAGCCTGAGACAGCAGACAGTAAAATAAGAGATATAATGAGATTTCTGGGAAGCATGAGGAAGTGAATGTATACAAATATGGCAATGGTATTGGATATTTGGACCCATATTCTGGAGCGGGGTGGTAATATCGACAATATTTACCTAGATTTTGCCAAGGCTTTTGACAGTGTACCCCTCGAAAGGCTGAAAATGAAACTGGAAGGGTACGGAATTCGGCGAAATGTCCTAGCGTGGATAGAAGACTTTCTACATGACCGTAGTGTGTAGTGATTAATAGTAAGGAGGCGTATCATATGTCCCAACGGGATGAAGAAACTGCACTAGTTGAGACTGTGTGTGAGAAGGACCTAGGTGTGTATGTTGACAATGAGCTGAAGTTCTCGGGCCATTGCGAGAAGAAGGTAAATCAGGCAAATAAATTATTGGGTCTTATAAGAAGGTCGTTCAGATATATAGACGGTCCGTCCCTCGTAACGATCTTCAGGAATGAAGTGCTTCCCCATATGGAGTACTGTCACCCCGTCTGGTCCCCGAGATATGCTAGGGACTGTCAGTTGGTTGAAAATGTTCAAAGGAGGGCCACCAGACTGGTACCTGCACTTCGGCACCTCAGCTACCCTGAGAGATTGGAGCGCCTGAACTTGCCTAGCTTATACTACAGACGGGCAAGGGGGGACCTAGTTGAGGTGTATAAGCATCTCAGGGGGCACTACTCAGTTGAGTGTCCTTACTTGGAGCTGGCGGACGCTCACCCCACAAGGGGTCACAGCTCAAGATTGAAGAAGCCGCAAGTCCAGAAAACCGTGAGGGCAAACTTTTTCGGAGTGAGGGTTGTAAACTCTTGGAACAATCTACCAGAGAGTGTTGTGACGGCACCGAGTGTGAGCTCTTTCAAGACAAGACTTGACCAACACTGGAGCGGGTTTAGGTACATTCGGGAGCCGGTGCATGCCCAGTATTTGCCAACAGTGCGTGACAGAGACGTGACCGATCGCCCAAGCGGCTAACGGGCCGATCAGTGGCGAAGAGGATAAAAAAAAGTCTCACACATGGAGGAACAACAAATATGAAATTACTTTGTATAATGATTTCATTGAATTAATATTTTTTTCTATTTTAAGAGTCTAAGCATAAATTAAATATATTTTTATTCCACTTTGAGGAAAATTCAGATTATGACAGATTTGGTAGCAGGAGGGATGCAGGGTTGAGGAAACGGAAACAGTAAGGTTTGTGTACAATGATAAACAGTGAATTCAATCAAAAAGCATCGGTAAACTAATTTTTTTCGTAGTCAGAGTTGTAAACTCTTGAAACACTCAAACAGAGTGTTGTGACGGCATCGAATGTGAGCTCATTCAGGACTTCACCATCACTGGCGCAGATACAGGTACTTTTATCCACATTCTGGAGCCAGTGTACATACCCAGTCAAGGTTAAAAAGGAGATTTATTGTACCCAGTACTTACCAACAGTGTGTAACAGGCTTGACCGACCACCTACAGTAAGCGGCTAACAAGCAGATCAGTCTTTTTATGTGTCGTGGGATCTTTAACAACATTTAAATATCGCGCCTAAAATATATACGTATACATATGTCAGATTTTTCTTAAAATTAATAAAAAAATAACAGAATTAATTATATTAAATACTTAATTAAAAACAAAAGAAAACCTGTTATTCCCAGCCTATACTGTAATGCCGTACTGCCTCGTCTACTGACCAGGTAAGGCTGTGAACACTAACAACAGATGGTACCCACACTAGTCCTGGGGTTGGCTGGGTCGACCAGTGACCCCCTCACACCCTACACCTATGGGCATTACTTAACCGGCTTGAAAAGGGCATACACGGTACCTTCATAGGGGAGATAATATATTTATAAAGTAAGTGCAAGGTGTACTATATGCCTTGAATTGGTTTTTAAGTTATATTGTCCATTCGTCTCAATATTTCCATAAATTTGAGTCTTGTGTAATTCTAACTTATGACGAAATCCGGAAGTTGAGGTATGTTAGCGAGGCTCTGGTCACAGGTGTATAGTTACTGTCACTTAAGTATATGTGCGACATCTTCACACTTAATACTTTACCAGTGATTATAAGCTCATTTACAAGACAGCTTATGGTGATTGCTTGTATATAGGTAATTATTGATGATTGACCCACTGGCGTAGTTTGTGCAAGTTTGTTAAAAAGTGGTTATTTCTAAAATAAATGTTAAATTTATAGTAAAGCACCGTTGTTTCTTTGGATATTAAAATTGTTTTTCCTATGGTAGTTGATGAGTTTGGAACGAATTTGTTATTCATTTCCGCCGGAAATTACTTTTGTTTTGTTTTGTTTTAGATAACAACCCCCCCCCCCCCCAACATTCTTAAGGGAAGAAGTTAGTTTTTTTAGTAAATCACAAATAAAATGCCAACCTAACCTAACCTAACCAAACCAGGGTTGCACCTCTTCAATTTCTTAATGTTCGGCTGAAGAAAACTGTTGACACCGCCAATGTGTTGCTCTTCACTCAGTGTACACTGATTAATACACTTTGAACAAATAATGTTGTTTGGTAATACACCGTGATTGCTAAAAAAAAAAGGAAATTTTCTTTATTCACCGGTCTTTCCCTTGCTGTTATAATTATGTATTTCGTAATGTTTAGACAACTATAAGATCTTTTTCTTCAAAGCTATTTTGGCTGGAAATTAAGGATAACCGATATATTAATTTTCGATATTATTAAATTTGCAGTCACAAGTGTCGCCATGTTTTATTTACCTGACTAGCCTGCGCTAGTCAGGCCGCACCTCGATTATGCGGTTCAGTTCTGGTGCCCTTATTATAGAATGGATATCAATTCACTGGAGTCGGTGCAGCGAAGAATGACAAAAATGATTCCGGGACTTAGAAACCTTCCATATTAAGATAGGTTAAAAGAATTAAACTTGCATTCCCTAGAAAGACGAAGAGTGCGGGGAGATATGATAGAAGTATTTAAGTGGGTGAAAGGAATCAATAAAGGGGATATAGATTAAGTTCTTATAATATCCAAGCAGGACAGGACTTGTAGCAACGGATTTAAGTTGGATAAGTTTAGGTTTAGGAGGGAGATAGGAAGGAACTGGTTCACAAATAGGGTGGTAGACGAGTGGAACAAGCTTAGCAACTTTGTAGTAAGTGCTGGAACTCTGGAAAGTTTTAAAAGGAGGCTAGATAGATTCATGAATGATAGAGAGTGGTAGTAGCTCTCGACAGGAGCTGCCATGCACAGGCCAACCGGCCTATTGCAGACTCCTTATTTTCTTATGTTCTTATGTTAGATGTTATCTGTGCATCATGCAAGCACAATATTGACTGATGTCATCCAGTCATGACCAATGATGTACAGTGGGGTATACTATAACGAATCTAATTGGTTCTAGAACCTTGTTCGTTATAGCATTCGTTTGTTATAGGATTAATCCGTTCCAGGCCCCCAAATACAACCACTTAACACTGAAAAATATAATATTTAATTGTAAAAATTGTAAAAAAGTGCATAAATATGCATCTAAACCCCTGAAATAAAGAATATCATTAATATTTGTAATAATAAAACAATAAATTAGAAAAAAAAAAAAAATTAAATTATGTTCGTTGTAGGAGTTTCGTTCGTTATGGCATTCTCAATTTTATAGGTAAAACCGTTCGTTATAGGAATATTCGTAGTAGGATCCGTTCGTTATAGCATACCCCACTGTACGTATAGGTATCGTGACGCTAATTTTTTCGACCAATCACATTTGATTTTTTTCAAAGGGAGCTGTCTAGGTAATTTCATTGACCAGTCTCTTAATGGCTGTGGTGGGGGTTGGTTGTCATTTGTGCTCCTACGATTATTTTAAGTTTATGCCGAGTTTTATGAGAAAGACGATCATTCTATCCAATTCTTACGTATCCCTGGTCCTTCCACTTCTAACTAAGGTATTGTACTTTCGGACATGGCGTGCCCCAAAGTTTTTAACTAATCTGTGATTGGTTACTAAGTTCCCCGTTGCTTAATTTAATGGTTGGGCTTTGTTGTTTCGTATTATATTATACTACGTACTATAGTAAACAAACGGCCTTGAGTTGCCAGCTGTCTCCAGCAGTGGAGCTGGTGGATGTCTGCCCCACAAGGGGTCACGGTTCAAGGTTGAAGAAGCTCCAAGTCCAGAAAACTGTGAGGGCAAACTTTTTTGGAGTGAAAATTGTGAACTCTTGGAACAATCTGCCAGAGATTGTTGTGACGGCACTAAGGCCAGACTTGACCAACACTGGAGCAGGTTCCAATATATTCAAGAGCCAATGCATGCCCAATACTTGCCAGCAGTGCGTAACAGAGATGTGACCGACCGACCAAACGGCGAACAAGCCGATCAGTGGCGAAGAGGATAAAAGTTAAATAAAATAAAAGCATTTAAGGGAAGCACAACTGATTAAGAACATAAAAACATAAGAATGGAGGAAACTGTATATACGTACCTGGATATCGGCAGACATTTCTGAATTAATGATACAGTAGTCGTAGTGTGAAGTAGATACAGTAGATATTTATTCTGTAAAATTGGCTTACAAGTTTACAATTGGTTCAACATGTTTAAAGATAGTGCAAGCATACAGTACAATATATGAGTACAAAGACCATGCAGATATACAAGCAATGTAAAGTAGCTAGACAGTGCAGGTGGGCTGTGCAGTTATTAAGGAGGCAAGTGTAACCTGCCGCTAGATATGTCAGAGCCTCCACCAATGACCGCCTTTTCCAAGTTTATTTTATTGTCAGAGTTGTACAGGTCACTCCATTCATAATCATAGCTATAAATTAGGGTTTTATGCTCTAGTCCTCTATTTTTGCTATACAAATGACAAAAACATCATTAACATAATTTTCTAATGATTTTAACAGAATGGCACATCGCATGCTGCTACGACTGGGTCTGCTGGGTGTTGGAGGAGCATCAATAACATACAACATTGATGAGCTAGAAACAGCAGCAATTGGAGCTCTTAGATTTGGTCGAGCGGCAGTTGCGGTTTGTGAAATAGTGTTATAGGTATAATTAGGTTCTAAGTGATAATGTAATATTGTAGAGTAATTGATCAGACAAAACTTATTTCCTTGGTATTTTCTAAAATATAGTAGATGTAAACTTTTAGAAATTAACATTAATAGGAAACACTATTTATTTTATATGAATTTTACAGCATATCCCTGTGCTTGACATAAAGTAAGTAAAATATCGTTTATTGAATGTTATCATTGTATCTAGAAATGTAAAAAACAAAAAATTATTTATGCCCCAGGTAACAAAAATCATCACCGAGTATCGATCAGCATTATACTCTGGCTCCATCACTCCGGAATCTGACAACTATAAAGAGATGAAATCGCAGGTAAGTAGCATGACCTATATGTACATAAAGAACTGCAGGTTACACGAAGGGAAGATGTCTTGGGAGGGAGTTTCACTGTAATGAAGTGTGAGGCAGTAAAAATGAGAGGAAGGAAAATACAATGTACAGTTAACCCTCACTTTACGCGGTTAATGTAACCCGGAGGGTACCGCGGAAAGTGAGGAACGCGTAAAGTGAATAACATAACATATGGGATTAATTGAAATAGAGTCCAGGCCGACCCCCAAACTCCACTTTTTGACGACACACAACTATGTTGTAGTAAAAATATTATTTTAACTTTATGATGGCATGCACACACAATTAATAATTAAGAGAAATATCAATAATATTAGGTTTTTTAACACTTACATTAGTAGAAAAGATGGCTGGGCACACGGGGATGGGCGGTTGGTTCCGAGGCAGAGGGCAGATTATTGGCCCTCACCTGTATCACTTGTATCAATTGTATCACTATCCACCACAGAGGCTTGCAGGGCCTCTTTGTCAAACCCCTCAAAGTCCATATAAGTCCATACCCTCACTATAATTATCACTATCACTGACTTGGGCCGGCTGTAGTGGGTGGCGGGTGAAGAACTGGTAATGTTTTGATGACTGGGCGACCTTGTGCGCACCATTTTCAAGCCTCTTACACAACATGGCGGATGGCGGGAGGTTTGGATCCAAAAATGGCGCGGCTTGCCAGCCGCTCTCCGCGTAATGGGGTACACGCACCGCGGAATGTGAGCATGTTAGGTTCCGGCAGGGCACCGCGTTAACGGTGAACCGCGGAATGCGGGACCGCGTAATGTGAGGGTTGACTGTACTGTATTTGCAAATGTATTGTTTTGGCTGTTGATGATAAGCATTGAAATACTATGCAATACAGTACTGTACTTTGTAAAATAGCTCAGTAGTTTAAATTCTGATGATTGTCGATCATTAAAATAATGATGAACAGGGAGGGGAGGAATGTCTTTGTTGAGGACCACTTTCTGGAATAGGTTTATGTACAGTATCTCAAGAAAGTATCTGCCAGGATGGGTCTGATGACTTCTGAGATGCTACACCCAACTCATGATGTCCCGGGAAAGTTGATATGCTTGACTGTGTGGTATACAGGAAGTCCTCGCTTAACGTCATGGTTATGTTCTTGTAAAACACAACGTTAACGGAATAAATTTTCCCCATAAGAAATAGATAAAATACGCTAGTTACGTTCCCCAGCCTCCCTTTGCCCCATAAAATACACTACAGTATACAGTATATAAATTCAATGTAATTTTTAAAGAAATTCACAGAACTTTGAGCATAACTTGTCATTGTTGCACTCATAGAAGTACCACTTCCAGCACTAGCCTTAATCTTGTCTGTGCTGGTCCGGATAGTATGCACTGTTTTGGAGGGTTAGGCCTCATGCTACACCAATGTCCACAGCACATTCACCTTTCTCAAAACGGTTTAAAACCTCCATTTTTGTAGCAAGGCTAATGGTCTTGCATTGTTTCTTCACAAAACTAGCATCACTAACACTTGATGGGCGCTTGGGAGCCATTTCGAATGGTTACAGTACAGTACGTATTTATAGCAAAAACACTTAAGCATGCATGTACGTTGTGGAAGCTTAACAAAGACTGGGGAGAAAACGCTTGGGGATGCTGTGATGCTCTGTGAGAGAGCGCAGTGCACCAAGATGAGAGAGGGATGCACGCCATACAAAGTAGTCCATGTTGGGTGACAACGTTATAACAAATCGGTCGGGCCGTAAAACAACGTTGTTGGAATCATGGTTATCTAAAGACTAGCAACTTTATAACAAAACAACGTTGTCTGGGATAACGTTAAGTGAGGACTTACTGTACTGATCCTACTACATTTGGTAACTGAACATCATATAATTACACCAAAATAAATACCGGTACTCATTGCATTACAGGGTACTTACGTTAAACTATACAAGGCAGGTACCCACATTTCCCAATGTCTATCACAGTGGTTACTAACCTTTTTGGCACTGCGCCTCCCTTTGGTCAACCCTGTACCCCATACCCAAAGAACAAAAATTTTCAATAGTTCCATATGGACGTATAGAACTCTAGATAATTATAGGATTAATAATCAAAACCATCAAAGCTCACGTGTTTACGAGAAAATTCATTATTTCTATGAACAAAAAACATGAAACTGTGAAACCTCGTGCATTTTTACAGATTAAATAAATTCATGATATTTTTGCTTACAAAATCTAAATAATACAGATGTACCTTTCCCGTTACTCGCCAACTGACTACAGATCATGCACGGCTTAAAATAGGATGACGTTTTTATGGCAATACTATATGAAGCTCCGCTGAGATGATGGATGTCAAGTTTTCCCAAACAAAGTTAATTACCCGTACAGTGGTCTTTCGGTTAACGATCACAATTCGTTCCACAGAGTCGTTCGTTAACCGAAAATTTCGTTAACCGAATCCATTGTTTCAATGGGATATTGGGTAATTAGTTCCAGCTCACAGAAAAGTACATACAAAGTAAAAAAAAAAATGCAGTAAAGTACAATTACTTTGAGGTGTGTATGTAGAAGGTTCCTGGTTGATGATGATGATGGGAATTAGAAGTAGGGGTGGAGGAGAAGGGAGAAGAGAAGGAAGTGGGGATGGAGAAGAAATCACCTTTCAGGGGGCCCATGCTTGAAGCAGTAATTTCACCAATAAAATTTTAAGTTCACTAGGTGTAATTCAAGATTATTTTATTTAAATCAACAATGCACTGCATTATATATTATCAATATGTGAACTAAATTTCAGAATGACCAATAATTTTAATGTAAAAATGCAAAAATATTCAAGACCCCAACAAAATCAATGTTCACTCCACTGTCAACAAAGCCAAACTGATGCCTGGTGGTTGAGTCAAGCGGCTGATGGGCGCACAAAAAACTAGTTCCCTGTACTGCATATATTATCAATATGTTAACTAACTTTTAAAATGACTAATAATTTTAATATAAAAAATGCAAAAATATTAAAGAGCACAACTTTCTTGATATTTACTCCACTGGAAACGAATGTAAACATAGAACAGATTACTGAATTGGCAGACTAGCCCATCAGCTGATCAGCTGATGCTCACAACAAAACGTGTTTTTCGTAAGGATTTCCTTAATTGAAGTTTTGTTCGTTAACCGAATTGAAGATCCTTATGGGAGGTAATTCGTTAACCGAAATATCGTCAATCGAACCGTTCGTTAACCGAGGGACCACTGTATATATCTTTAGTTATTCGAATGGCATATGTTGACCACCTCAACCCCCCAGGAACCTCAAAATAGACACACTCACGTGCCATAGTTTCGACTCACCTCTACCCGCATTCTGACTCAATGGAAGTCGAGCCTTGGCTTCATACCGAGCGCCCTCCCCCTTTTTCACTCACCCCCATCACCCTCTATCGTTCAGTTGTGCAATGTGGTAGCTCGAAGTTTCACTGCATTGTACTTAACATCACTATACAAGCCCTGACTATGACTTCCCTCAAGCCAGGAGTAGGGGTATAGGGTGCACGAAACTATGGCGCGTGAGTGTACCTGTACAATATATAGTACTGTACAGTATAGCTGATGTTTAAGATATATATTTAACAAGTTTGTGGATACAAAGGCATATTGTTTTTCTTCTGCAAATAGGTTTGTTTATACATAAAAGGTGCCAGATTTCTGTATACAGTATTGCAGTGTACTGTACATGAATTCTACTTTCATACTGTACTGCTCTTAACAAGTGACAGTCTAATGAGACCTTGTCATGCCGGTTTTACAATGTGTATACAATATGTAAGTTATGTATGAAATAATGAGAGGAATATCATGACAGCATAATGTTATTGACATTTAGATCATTTACATTGCAGATGTATAAGTTGTGTATTCACAGTTGCCATAAATATAGAGCATTCCTGTATACATAGTTGTCTGTATACAGTATTTCAGATCAACTTTTTTATTTTGCTCTGTTTACAGTTACAGTAGTATATATACAGTACTATTGTATTCTAATATTTTGATATTACCATTTCAGACTCATTTGCATTCTGCTAGGGAGTTACTAGATTTATGCTGTACAAATGGTGGGGCCTTTGTGAAGGTAAGTGGCTGACCTCACTTTATTGACCTGAAACATTTTTATTCTTTACCAAAAGGAGCTTGTACTTTACTACTAAGGCCAGGGCCAGATTTAAGGGGGGACACATGGTGCAACTGATCTCCACCACATGTGGGCCTACACCATCTGTATGTGTGAATTTGAAAGTCATTACTCACTGTCATGCTTTAATACAGTATGCCCTTAAAGCTCGTGGGGGTTTGGGTCTCAAAATGGCCACGAATTGCCAAAACCGTGAATATCATTTGCTGACAGGGGTACATTTACTCATGTACAAAGAAATGTATACAGAGTATTCCCTCTGTGTTTGCCCTTAGGACAACAAAATGTAGACAAAATGCGAGAGTCTACCCTCAAGTCAACTCCATGCTTTGTTATTAACCCTCTCGGCCTCGCACGACACCATTGTGGCGTTGAACATAAAAGGCAAAACAATTTTACGCTCAGCCCATTGGATGCTACGTCCATTGGGCTATATTTTAAAATAACTCAAATTATGCAGTGAAACTGTCTGAACTTTGGACGTCATTTGACAGACGTCGTTTTCTTTGTGTGGGCCTTATCACCTTCCCTGAGATGGTCTTGGTCATCTTGTGCATGGCAGTGCAGCATGAAGCCAGTGTGTCTGGGTATCAGGGGACAACTGCCCTCTCCCCGGACACTTGCCCCCCCCCCCCCTGGACACTTGGGCCCCCCCCCCCGTGGACAATTCCCACCCCATTGACACAAAACATGGAACTAATTGAATAGAGAGGAGAAATAACACTAAGAATCAATGCTTTATTTTCATGTTCTATATGTAGTAATAATTATATACAGTACACAAAATGTACAGCTCACAAAAAAAAAATTAACCCTTCAAATCTGTAATTAGAAAAAGTTTGATAAAAAATTGTGGTTAAGTGAAAAAAAATGTGGAGCAGTCATATTTAATATTGAAAAATTGGTTAGGTTAGATTAAGTTTAATTTAGGTTAGGTTAACTTAAAGTTAGGTTTGGTTAGGTCAAATTAAAGGTAGGTTAGGCTAAAGTTAGGTTAGGAGTTTGGTGAGGTTAAAGTTAGGTTAGGTTCGGTTAAATCAGGCCAGATCTTTGGTCAGCTGTGCAGAAGATTCTCTCGGGCAATTGTCCCATAGGGGCAGTTGTCCTAGAACCTCTCTCTGGCCTTTAGAGCTAGAGGAGGGTGCGCCGCTCGGCCCTTTAATTACAGGTATTCCATGAGTTTTTGTATTATATTATTTTTCCTTATACCAAGATATTCTACATGCTTTGTTCTTTATTTTGTATATACAGTAGTACTTCTCAATGAACACCATAATACAAGGAAAATGTGAATGGAAATCAAGATGTTACAAACATTTTCCTACCTTTTCAAATTATTCTCATGAAAAGTGGCTTAAATTTCAAGAATTTAAATTCTTTTATGGTTTCATACAATTTTTCAGACAATTTTATGCTAGAAGAGACCCCACTACAATTAATAAAACAATTCCATGCAGTGAACTGGGGCTATTTAAAAAAATTAAAAACCATTTCAAAGATTTTTTGGCAAAAACCTCCGAGGCTGAGCGTAAGTTTTCATGCATGTATGTGTCTCGGGCTCCGAGGCTGCGAGGGTTAAAGTTGAGTTGGTTGGGTTGCCATAATGCAATTTTCCTCATAAATATTACTTTCTAAAACGAATGGCATTTGAGCACTTGCTGGGTTGATACATAGTTCAAAATTACAAAATTTCTTTCGTAGGCATCTAGCAAACCCAACATGAAGGGTGTCGGTAATTGCGGTGTAATACTGTACTTTTTTCACAATATGTAAGTAGGATGTTGTGTGCATGTAACTGAGTAAAAATAAATGAAGAAAGTTACTTATCTCTACCCAAAAATACGAGTTGAAAATAACCATAATACCTCACAGCTTGGCCCAGTAGCCTGGTGGTTATAGTGATAGCTGACCTAGCTACAATGCCATGATTAATCACTATTAAACACTATTACATCAGTAAACACTAATAATAACAGTAAATCCAGTGAAATATGGCAGGGAGTGAGGAGAGTTACAACTGCAGATGATGCGCTAACTAGCAGTCACTCACTCCCCTTACCTGCTCCCGTTGCCAAACAGAGCCAGCCGTATATTTGGGAGAAATACTTGACCTTCTCTTCTCTCTGTACTTGTTTGGGCACCTTCCTGTGGCTGGAAGAAGGTGGTTGAGAGCATTTGGGAATCCTCACAAGGAGCACAGTTGTTAAGAGGGCAGAGTAGCACAGGCGCGACACGGACATATATTTAAGCCCGGACTGTCACTGTGGCAGAGTGAGCGCACACGGCCCAGCCACCTGGGACAAGAGAGACATCTTGCAGGACACCATAAAACTCATGGTCTCCCCGTCCTGGCTGTGACAATGCCATGTACTTTAAAACTACCTGCAGACATTCTTGGGTATATCCAGGGTTTCATCTGCGAATAATGGAAGGCCATGAATAAAAAATCAGCGAATTGTAAGGGTATATTGTACTTACAATTATTTCATTAATGTGTGACGAGAACTTTATGACAGTAACTTGAAAAAAAAATGTCTTTTTTCCAAAAATTATAATACTGTAGTATGTAAGTGCGCTTTTACAGTTTATCAAGGTAATGGATATAATGTATACTCACTGCTCAGAACTTATGAGCTGAATCAGAATAACCTAACTAACAACCAATTTCACAGTTGATTTGTTTGTGAACACCAAAACAAAGTAGGATCCAACAAAGTTGTCAACCTTGCACCGTCAGAGCAAAAAGTTGTGGTTGACTGATATTTGTAATATAATCATGATATAGAGAAAATTAAGTCACCTTCCCCAGACAGACTTCCAGTAGATGGTCCTAATCACACTGCACATTGATGATGGTAATGTGTGTACAGTATCTCTCACGAATGGGTCAAATGTTCTTTCCATAGAAATGGGAGAGAAAGTGAGGGCCAAAAATTATGTACATAAATTGTTATTGGTTTTGTCATGTCCTGGCAGTCTTGTATGTCATGCCATAGACCCTTAGTAAAATTACTGTCCAGGAATACAATTGCATGTGTTTATTTTTTTACTTTTCTAATGAACCAGTATTTTCATGTACACTATACGAGTCCCTTAGTTAAAACAAAAATATTATGCAGTTATGACTGGTGTTATAATACTGTAAAAAAAAAAAAAAGGATGGCAGGGACCTCCACCAGTTGTTTGCCCAGAGCCCCCACAGCTCTTAATTCAGCCCTGACTATTGCTAATAAATTTGAAAAATGGAATGGTAAGATGTTCATTTTATTGTGTTCTGACTACAGTAATTTAATTTTTATAAAACTTTGAGTTTACAAAGTTTATTTCTGCAATGATGGAGTATGATGTAACCTATTTTTCCTTGCGCAACATTCTTACATTTGATTGTACATGTATTGTACACTGAATAATTCCATCAACAGGGCAGTTCCAGGAGAGGTCCAGGCCCCTGTTTTCATCAGAAAATTCCTATACAGGTTGTACCTCTCTAGTCCGGCATTCTGTGGTCCGGAAACTCCCGTGGTCCGGAACGATTTTAGTTTGTCCAATAGGTAGATAGGTAGCTTTTTTTTTTTTTTTATCTGATTTATTATTATTATTACAGGAGTATTAAATTTTTGCCCCTCAGGCCCCAATGTGGGTCAGTGACCTATACCCGGGTGGGCTAATCCCCATAAAAAAAAACAAAGCCGCGGGAAATTAAGGTTTTTTTACATCTGGCAGTTCGGCTGCTCTCTCTCTCTCTCTCTCTCTGCTTGTCTATACAGAGTACAACATTTAACCCTTCAATATATATGAGCAAACAATAATTGTTGCTTTCATATTCTTAGGTAGAGTAATGACGATATGTTTTCACATGTGCGCACTTACATACACGCAGTCTCACTTTTTTTTTTACCATTAATGGTTAGCTACTTATATTGTTCCATTTATTAACATTAAATAACGTCACAGGTACTTCAAACAACCATATTAATTTTTTTACATTAATTTTACTACAGCTACAATCAGGGTCTTATTTTCTTCAGTTTTATATGCAGAACCAATCAGTCACTGGTTTTGTAAGCTTTACCATAAACAATGCCGGCAGCCGTCTCGTCTCATCGTGTGTTTTCATATTCCACGTATTATTAATAGATTGTATTGTTAATTTTGCACACACAAACATTAATTCAATAAAAACAAATTCAGAAACATTAATTAAAATATATATGAACAGTAAATAAGTGTTGGTTTCATATTCTTATGTAAAGTAATGACTATATGTTTTCACGTGTGTGCACTTACATACGCGATCTCTTTTTTCTTTACCATTATCGTTAGCTACTTCTATTGTTCCATTTATTAACATTAAATAACATTACTTAAAATAACCATATTAATTTTACTACAGCTACAACCAAGGTCTATTTTCTTCAGTTTTATATGTAGAACCAGTCAGTCACTGGTTTTGTAATCAACGAAAACAATGCTGTGTCATTTCCTCGTGTGTTTTAATATTCTACGTATTATTAATGAATTGTATTGCTCATTTTGCACACATAAACATTAATTCAATAAAAAAGACATTCAGTAATAAACAATAATGAATCTCTTGTACATAAGAGAAATGACGCTGTTTACACGGCACGTCGTCTGCACGTTGGCGGGCCGTTCAAACCGGTCGAAATTCAAGTTTCCGCCGTCAAAATTTTTATTTATTTTTTGTGTGTGTGTGTGTTCCAATAAAATACGTTGAATTAAAAACTCGCGAAATTTGAGAAGCTACTATACGACATTTAACCCTTCAATATGTCTTCAAAGAGACCATGATGCAGAGAAAGTGGTGCTAGTGCTTCCAAGCATAAGCACAAGTCACTATCTATCCAGGAAAAGGGTGAATTTCCATGGTCCGGCACCGGTCAGGTCCCGAGGTTGCCGGACTAGAGAGGTACAACCTGTACTTTTTCTTTAATGCAGTATTGTACTCAGGCATTTTTATATAGTAAGAAGTCCTCTATATCTACTAATATCAAGTGCACATGGCTTCAAAATGGCCTCAAAGGCCCATAATATAATGAAAGCCTTTCATTTAACCTTTTGAGAAAACATATAACATTTCCATTTGATAAATCACTGCAGGTTTTAAAAAATTCAAGGAAGAGGATCTGTGCTTGGTATAAGTACGTTTTCCTAGGAACTTCATTAAAATCTTAAAAGCTCTTTACTCTCATCCTATAATTATGATTGCTCTCATATCTCTTTTTATACAGTTAACCCTCTGGTACTCCTGACCATGGTCAGAAATCTCAATCCCTTGCAGTCTTTTGGCACAAAGCATACAATGACTGCGAGGGATTGAGATTTCCGACCGTGGTCAGGAGTACCAGGGTTAAAGAGAGAGATAAGAACTATCAATCTCATATACTGTACTGTAGTGCATGCCTATAAATAATCCAAATTTATTGTACCAAAGAACTGAAAAATTTGTGAGTGTTAATTATAAATTCTTGCAGGTTGGTCAACATCTGGGGTCCCTGGAGTACCTACTGCCTGTAGAGTATGTTAACACAATGAAGGTCTTACATTCCAACGCTCCCAGGTCTTCTCTCGAGGATGTCTACCAGGTCATCGAGGAGGAACTCAAATGTAAGGTCAGTGTGGCACTGTTGCTGCTGTCTAGTCTAATACTGTGCAGTATGACTGTAAATCAGTTATGATATTCTGCAGGAAATTTTTTTTGTGGATGCTTTAAAAATAATGTACTTTATGGGTATTTTTAAATTCTTTGTATTTGTGATAGATTATACAGGCAGTCACCAATTTATGAACATAACACTGACCTCCCAGATTTTATTACCCCCAGCCTGTCCCAACCTTCTCCCAGCCATTCAATACAAGAAGGGACTTTTTTTTGTGCAGTGCTAGACTAAACACAGAACTTCCTTTTACCCTTGTGTATTATACACTCAGATGCAGGGAAATCTGTAGAATGTTTTGGAATTTTCAGAAATAACTGAGATACAAAATTTAGAAGACAGAAATATAGGATGTGGCTAAACAACCTTCCCCCTAAGCGAGTTGAGCACAGTTGTTTTTGTGTGTTTTGTATGGGTTACTTTGGGCATAAAAATATTTTTACCCAAATGAATTATACAGTAACAGACACAGGAGAGTCTGTAGAATTTGTAGGCATTTTGGGAAAAGAAATGCTATGAAATTTGATGGAATATTGATTAGTATAAGAGAAAGCTTGTGGAAAAAATGTATACCTTAGACAGTATACTCTTAAGTTTTTATGATCAAATTTTTATGCAAAAATGAGGGGGTCGAAATATTTATGCATAATGTTTTTGAAGGGGTTAAAATTCATGCATATCTGTGGGTCATTTACGGTGAACGATAGCTACCCAGTATACATTGCATGCAGTAGGCTACCCTTACTAGTGAGCTCCTTTGTCCTGGGTTTCCTGACCATAACCCTAGATTTTTACTTTGTTTCTACATGAAGAGTAGAACCTCATTCAGTATACAGACAGTCCCCAGGTTACGTACGAGTTCTGTTCCTAGAGACGTTCTTAAGTTGAATTGTACTTAAACCAAAAACCTATGAAAAAATACTTTTTGTAATAAAAAATGTGATGCCACTGTTATGCAATTTTACCAACCCACATTGGGGCCTGGGGGCTAAAATATAATAATACCGGTAATTATAATACCTGTAATAATAATAATAATTCTTAGGTCTAGGTCGTGTTTCTCACTTTTGATCTTTTATTCATTCAAGTACTTCGCATATGAAACCCCCCAAGAGTGTTAAAGACAACAACTATTAAACTATGTAAATAGTACATAAAAACAACAGAAATATATACTTTCCATGAAAGTTGGAATGGTTTTAAGGTTAATTATGCCTTTTGCCGCAGCAATTTCACAACTATTCAGTATTATCCTTTAACTTTTTAGCTCCCGTCCCTGATAGGCAACTTTACCTTTTCAAACCCTATTTTAAGGATTAAGGTTGCTGACGGAGACTTAGGGTGACCTACAGGTTAGCCCCAACTATTCACTTTATACAAGATCTCCCTTGAGTCTCAAGCCTGAATGCTTAGCAGACATATTCATGAGTCATTCATTCTATGCTGTATTATAATAGGGATTTCACATCCTTCCCGTCATTTACATTTTATTGGGTAATGCAAAACAGTTTAGATCAAGACTATTTCTAACTAGAACATTTATATAGTTTGCTTATTCTCTCCACAGCCCAAAGAATTATTTTTAGAATTTGAACCAGAGCCTTTGGGCGCAGCATCCCTTGCACAAGTCCATCGTGCAAAGCTTCATGATGGGCGGGAAGTAGCTGTGAAGGTGCAGCACCGAAGTGTCAAGGCTCACTCTAAGGTTGACATGAAGGGAATGGAGGTGAGTCATTTTACCTGATACTGAGTGTGAGAGTAAAAGTCCTTTAATGACATACACATTCATAATACATATTCTTGATTGGTACATTATTTTATTTTTGTTTATTTTTACATTGAATGTATAGAAAATGGCTCATGATTAAGGACCAGAAGAGCACATGTGATGGCACATCATCTGATTTTCGTGAACTTTATGTATTCACTTCTTCAGTACAGCTTTTGTTAGAAATTAATGAAAATTTATAGGAAATATTCCCCTCATTTTCTTTTATTAATTTATATGTCAGCCTAATGGCAATAAGGAATACAGGCACATAGTTTCAGGTTTCTGATGTACAGCTTGAAGCATACATGCATAATTGAACAAATATTGTTTATCTGGCAGAAGGCAAGAAAGTTTTGTTGGAGAAGCATTATGAAATTGTGAGCATGTATGTCAAGCACAAATAGACCTCAGAGTCCTGGAAAGGGCAGAAACACCCAAGTGTGAAAATTCTGTTTGTTGATATGATGAATGCCAACTGACCCAGTAAATATTACTTTTAAAGTTTCATTACCATACATATTTACACAATGGACGAGTTGACGGTTGCAATTTTTTCGTATGATGGCAGGTCAATGGGTAAAGAAAATGCTTAAATTCACAATGGTAATGATATTTGGAAATAAATTGGGCTCAAAATTGTAAAAAATATTGGTTAAAATTGCTAAAAAGTCACGTGACTGCGAAAAGCTCTGATTGGTTGTGTCGTCACTGGTTGGGGCGGGAGGCAGCCAGCTGTAGTTGTCCAACCTTCTCAGCTGATCGGCTCTGTAAATAAATATTAGATAATTAATTGTGCTTTACTGTGCAACACGGTAATACTATTTTAAATATATAAATATTACTAAGCACATGAACTAATTCAATAGATATTAGCTGCCCATACAACAAATTTCATAGTACAAACAATCCAAATAATATTGGTATTATTTTGGTTTTGGTCATCTGGGGAACCTTAAGATTCTAACAATAAGACCCATTATCTCTACAGGATTTCTGTCACAATTTTTTTTCGACTGCATAAGAAAATATAGATCATAGGTTAAGTTAGTGTATGATGAGTTATAAGGTTAGCTTAACATACATCGGTAATGGGGGGTAGTAATTGTGACCAAGTCTCAGGTTGCTGATCTGACTTTCTTCCTCATTTACACACAATTGCAGGGTCTCAATTGTTTCTCTTACTTTGACAACACAACATACATATATTGTTTCTCAATCTTGATCTTTTTTTTTAATTTTTGTATTTCTTTATGGTTCTTTAATATTATTATTACATTTCCGCCCCCCAGGTCCCGATGTGGGTCAGTGACCTGTGCCCGGGTGGACTAATCCCCAATATTAATAAAAAAAATTGTGATTTCTGAGAGAAATGAAGTTCTAAATCGTTCATAACACATCGCAAACCACCAGAAAAAACATCGTCTGCATGTCTAAGTACAGGAATGACCAACACTTAAAATTTACCCAATATAGTCTATCTCGAATCTAAACATCAAAATACTTGTGGTAGTTAGAATAAAATTTTACCCATTAATTAATATAAATGATGAAATATCCCAGTGGTTCATTAGTGAATCGTCAAAACAATAACAGCATTATGATGTCATGTTTACCTAGCATTAGGAAATCTCGAAACAAAATCCAGACAATGTCATTACTTCTAAATTTACTCGTATCTCCATCTAGTACTGATATACCCTGTAAATGCACTGGAAAAAAAAAAAAAGTCTACCAGGTAAGAGTACATGACAGCTTAGCTGGTGTGAACATGCAAGTTTTTTATGTCCAAAAGAACATAAGAATGGAGGAAACTGCAGCGGGCCTATTGGCCCATACTGGGCAGTCCCATTTACACCCAACCCTTATCGCTCATATATCCATCTTACCTATGTTTGAAGCTGCTCTTGACGGCACATTTCTTCACTTGCGAAATATCCATGACATAGACCATAAAAGACACCCTTAAAACTTACCTGAACATGGCATTTGGGGTCTGAAAAGGTTATCCTTTCTACGACTGCAGCTGTGAGTTTGAAACTAGTGACGTCATTGCAAATGGCAGCTCTGTTTCAAGAGAAATAAACATTTCGACTATTATTGCAGGACTTTAAACTTTTATTACAAATTATATACGGTATACCGTATCACTACGAACGTGGCAGAGTGTATTTCTTGTGTTTACTCAGAACCGTCAACTCGTCCATTGGTGAGGTAAACTCTGTTAGGTCAATGTATTACATTGGGCTTTGGGAAGTGAAAAGTGGTCAGCAAGTTGACTGTCTCCCTTCGTGTAATGATTTATGTGTTTTTCTATAATCTAGTAAAGCTTCTGTGGTGTTATCTCAGGTTGAATATCATTCCATAACAAGACTTTTATTTACCATATTATTGTATGGTATTTACATGTTTATTTGTGCTTGCTTACAGGGCTTTTTTTAAATTTGATATATATATATATATATATATATATATATATATATATATATATATATATATATATATATATATATATATATATATATATATATATATATATATATATATATATATATATATATATATACAGGGGTATATAAATTTTTTTTAATAAATTTGTTTAGGTACAGTACATTATAATTATATATACAGTACTGTATATATTATATCCAGACAATTTGTTGATACATTTTATCTGTTTGTTTACAGCTGCTTGTGAAAATGGTGTCACATATTTTCCCTGACTTCAGATTTGAATGGTTAGTGGAGGAGATGAAGAAGAATTTACCAAAGGAGCTGGATTTTATGCATGAAGCAAGGAATGCTGAAAAAGTTGCTGCACAGTTTGCTCATTTCTCTTGGTTAAAGGTACCATCTGAACCCTCGTATTTTGCCGTGTCTGCTACAGTAGAACGTCGTATAACACGAGATACGTTCCAAGAGAGGTCGCTTTAAACCGAATTCGCACTAAATCGAAGTGCTGTTTCAATAGAATAATTTAGTTTGGTACTTGAGAAAAACACAAAATACTAAAAAGACTTTTATTCACTAATAAATATGAGAAAAATATATGGCGTAATGATATATATGCAGCAAGCACTCCCTGCAGTAGACTTGAGAGCTGGAGGGTACTGTTACTGTGTGGTACTGCACTGTACTGTACTGTCTGCTGCCTCGCGTCACTGGCCCTACCCCTGCTTCAACTGAGTCTACCCAGATGCACCCCAGACCATCTCTTAGAATAAACAAAATATTGTTTTTTGTAGTTTTGTGGTAAAACAAACACTCATAAATCAATACAGATAAAATAAAGGGATGCAAAATGGTCTGCTTACTAGCGATCAGCTAATGTGAGAGGGTGGTCGCACTGCCGCCGCGCACCACCCAGCACTCGTCTGCCTCACTCCATCCCTACCACTAACCAAGCGCTTTCACTTTCCTCTCAACTTAGTTTTAATTACTATATGCTATCAAAAATAGATTTTCACTCAACTTTAGTTACGCAATTCATCCTCTGAAGATGCAGAACCCAACTTGACCAGCTCATCATCCACATCACTGTCTAGTGGTGTGACTGTGGATGCATCTGACACACGGGAAGCACTGGATGACAGCCGTCTCTGGCCAGATGTAGATGGGCCAGCTACCCCAGGAGCTGAAGGAATGAAAAATATTCATTAAATTATTGAATTTCTGCCACATAATTATTACATATCGTACACTCAAAATTTAATATCTATTTTTCCAAGCAATAAACACTGTTTCATAACACACAGTTTCATAACAAACTCACCTGATGAGGATAATGAACGGAAGAATAATGTGATTTTCTTCTGTTGCTGGGCCATAACCATCTGATCTAGCAGCTGAGAGTACGTTGATGCAGCCCAATTCAACGCCTCCACCACTTGCATACTGCATTCCATATCAGGGTCATGTTGCAGTGCAGAATGGGTGTCAGAAGTGACATGCTGTATGAACTCCCTCAGCTTAGGAATTGTTAGTTCCTTCCTCACTGTTTGGGGCTTATCTGTTGCTTCCTCTTCTTTGCCATCTCCACCATCTCCAACACTTCTTCAGAAGTGAGAGGATCCTCCATGCTGACAAGCAGTTCATTCACATCCTCTTCTTGGATTTCTTGAAATCCTGAATCACTTCCTTAACGAGCTTCAGAATGTCTTTTATGTCCCGTACTTCATGAGAGCCCTTGAAATCATGGACTACCTGAGGCCACAGATTACGCCACACTCCATTTAGTGCAGTGTCTGGCACACTTCTCCACGTAAGTGCGATGTTAGCCATGGTGTAGCTCTTCCAAAATGTTGTTGCAGTCATATTGTTGTCTTTGTTCATAGCTTTAGCCATTTGCTTCATGGTAAATTTGAGATAATATCTCTTGAACAAGGCAATAACACATTGATCTAGTGGCTGAATAAGTGAAGTCATGTTTAGAGGAAAGAAGGTCCTTATTCATACTGCACATCCTTATTCATACTGCACAGATGTTTGGAGTGGCAAGATGCATTGTCTGTGAAAACCAAGGCCTTGTTGCTAAGGTTCAGTTATTGTTTTAATTTTTTGTTGTGTGGGGTGGCATGGCTGATGTACCACTCATCAAAAATATCAGAAGTCATCCACTCCTTCATGTTTGATCACCAAATTACAGGAAGTTTTGGGATGAGCACATTTTTCAAAGCACAAGGTCTAGCTGAGTGGTGGATGACGAGTGACTTCATTCATGCAGTGCCTGATGCGTTTGCCATGAGGAGAATCGTCAGTCTGTCCTTGCAGACCTTGAACCCTGGTGCCTTTTCTTCCCTCTTCATTAGATAGGTTTTCTTGGGCATTCTTTTCCAATACAGTCCAGTTTCATCACAATTCCACACTTACCATGGAGACTAACCATTTTCTAACACTATATCCTTCATAACTTTCTTCATATCCTCGGCTGCCTCCGCGTCGGCAGATGCAGCTTCACCTGAAAGTGTCACATTCCGTAGCCCCGTCCTTTTAATAAATTTGTACAGCCAGCCTGTACTTGCTGTCTTTGATGGACTTCCCTTCCTTTTCAAGTATCCGAGACTGTATTTTTAGGCTTGGTTTTGCAGCATGGGGCCAGTGAGAGGAAGTTTTTGGCACTGCATGTCCTTACCCTTAACTTCAGTGCATCTTCCATCTCAACATACATAGCAGATTTCAGGTGGAGTTTACCCTTGGCAACATCTGGTGAAGAAAAGGCTGCTCTATTTTTTCTCGTTGAGCTTGATAGTGCGGACAGAGCTCTCCGACAGTTCAAATTGGCGCCCCACTCTTAAAGCACCACTTCCACGCTGCAGTGCTTCCAGCACCTTGTTTTTCTGCTCCAGTGTAATTGCTTGCCTTGATTTCTTGGTCTTTAGGGGTAGTTAATGATGTAGTAGCTGGCCTCTTGGACATAGTGGCGATGGTTGATGCACGTGGTAGGAGGAGATAGTGTCACATATGTCCGTTCACTAGAGCGTCAGCGTGTCTGGTGGAAAACATTAGGTGCGAAACTTAAAATAGTGTGTACTGTATTTCCATATGACGCGCCAGATTTGACTTGCGTAAATTAGGAAAGATTCGCTTTAAATTGATACGGTGTCCTTAATTGTTGGTGTCGCTTTAAATCAATAATTTTAAATCGATTCGCTTTAAATCGACGTTCTACTGTACAATTTATTTATTTATTTTTTAATCACTGGCTATCTTGATTTTACAAGTCGATTGGGATACAGAATCACTCATCATTCTCAGACAGACTTTACCATACCTTCTTATGTTTTTAGCCCTTGTGCTGAGTAAAATTGTCTGGCTTTAGTCAAATAAAATATTAAAAGTGGCATCCCTGTAGTGAAGGGGTTAGACTATTTTGCCCATGTGCAGTCAGTGGTGGAATTAGTTGATGTCTAATGGTCTAATTTTGTACTTTTCTATGTCAGATCCCATTCATTGACTGGAGCCATACAACAGACAGGGTTCTGGTTATGGAATTTTGTGAAGGTGGTCAAGTGAATGACCGAAACTATATGGTTGCTAAAGGAATCAACACCAGTGAAGTTTCTGAAAGAATTGGCAGATTATATTCAGAAATGATCTTCGTCAATGGTTATGTTCACTGTGACCCTCACCCAGGCAATGTATTGGTGAAAAAAGTCAACAATGAAGCCCAAATTATTCTGCTGGATCATGGCCTTTATACGGTGAGTTTATTACTGTTCAAGAAGACATGTAGAGGACAGCAGGAAGGCAGAAAACTAATTATTTACTATGATAATGTCAATGTACAGTATATGTGTTCATTGAACTAAGGTAATAAAGCTTTGATTTAACTGTTTCACTGCGTACAAAATTTAGATTTTGAGTTTTCAGTAAAACCCTGATAACTCGGTACATACCGGGGTCTGACCTTGCTGAATTATCCCAAATTCCAACTTATTGAGGCACTTTCCTCTCTCCCCCCTTACAAAAAAAATTTATATATTATTGCCCCTAAACGTATACTGTACATGTAGTTACTAATTTTCAAAAAGTAACACTTGCCAATACTGCAGGCGAAGAATGAAACATTACAGTAGGCGAGAGGCATGGTTGGTGACACAAGAGACATGGTAGTTAACTCAGGGATATGGTAGGTGATGCAGGTGATGGAGAGGAAACACTACTTAAATGGTAAACTGTGTGGCACTTGTATATACTACTGTAATATGGGCACATACAAAATAAAGGATAAATTTTAACAAAAGTAATTGTTTGTGCTACGTATAATTCTCTGGCTGAGTGCAAAAAGGGCCAAAGTCTAAATTGGCATTTTTTGACATTGGCCCTTTTTGCACTCCATCAGAGAATTCAAGTCTTCGAGTGTGTAAATCAACATGAACTTTTATCAGTAAGAATATTGTAGTCCACCCTAGTAAAACAATTTTCTTTATTACAGAACAAAAGAGAAATTTTTAAATACTCAACGTGGCTTAGAAATATAGAAAATATAATATATACTGTAATTGTAAAATAAGAAAAATGAAGAGCATAGGTGTGTGTGTGTGTGGGAGATGAACTACAGTACAGTAATATCTCATATTTTGCGCGATTTCATTTCCCGTTTTTGAATTTCGTGAGCACTACCTAATGTAACCAAGTCTTGTACAGTATTTGGCATAAAATATCGTGCATTTCGCTAGATCCAGCTAGCTGAACGCGAGATCCAGCCAGCTGAACGCTGGCCACCGTTTTGAATGACGTTACAGCCCTCATACCAGTTAGTCATTTCTACTACAACGCGTGTTTTGTTAACGCCAATTGGTTGCAACGCGATTCATGAATAGGGGAACCCTGTTTGTAAAATGCGAACTTTTGCATGCGAATGCTGGCTATACACGATTCCATCCTCAATGTTTTAAGCGTGGTGCGGGGTTATGCAATGTTTACAGGTCACGTTCGACATCACATGTTCAATTGATTCGTGTCTTTTGTTTGTGAAGTGTTTTTTTGAGAGGTACTCGGTAATTTTTTTTTTTTTTAATTTAGCCGTTACCCATAAATACTGTATGAAAAGAATAAGTGAAAAGAATGTTTCGCAGTGAGGACTAATAACGGTTTACACCAGTGCTCTCTGTTTGCATCACGTGATGAGTTGAATTGCGAGGTTTCTGTCAATTACTACTTGATTTTCGCTGCTTTCTCCAATTTTGTTGTGTTAGCGATGAATACGGAAAGACAAGTATTTCCAAGAAGCGTTCTGGTGATCGAATTGCCGGTGGTGAACATAAAGAGGTTTACAAGAACACAACTATCGTGTTGTAGCCTGCGCCATCCTAGTGACCGCCCGGGCTGTTATTGTGTGCTTTTTTGGGTGGTGCTACCACCTGTCGAGTCAAGATAATGGCCTCTACCTCTACTGGGGGTCCTACTGGTGCTGGTGGGGGTGGGACAGATCCACCTAACCGGCCAAATAAGGAAAAGGAGAAGCCGGACTATCATAAGGGAGTTAAGTTTGCCAAGTACTCGATGCAGGATAAGCAGCGTGTGATTAAGTTACTTGAGGAAGGCCTAAAAACTAGTTTCTGGAAAGAACAATCAAGTCAATAAAGGCAGAATTTGCATCATTTGGAGGTTATAAATGGGAAAATCAGAGGTTGATGTAGAGTGGCCAGTCTATATTGTTATTTTTCCCAATAGTTTATGTATTTGTATTTAGCGAATTTGAGTTTGGCGCAATTTTTCCAGTATATTACTCGCAAAATACAAGATCTTACTGTACATGAAGGCAGTGAGCTATACTGTGTGGCTGACTCACCCGCCTCCCTCCCTCCCTCCCTCCCTCCCATGTGACATTATGGTACACACGCATGTCTCAGTCAGCTGGTTGACTGCCTGGCTGAACTGTGGCATCACTTAGATGATGGTTTGTGTGGAAGGAGCTATTTTTTGTACATAAAACATGTTATTGTATTTTATGATACTGTATGCTGTGTCAATTTTATTGTTCATAACAGCAATTTTTGTCAAAAAAGCGGTTATAGCTCAACTTGTGTTAGACATGTGAATAATTTACTTGAGTTGCTTTCGGATTGTTGGATTAAGTAATAGAATTTTTACCAAAGGGGACGAAGTTGGGATACCTGGAAGATTCAGATACTGTGGTTGGAATTTGGATAAAATTAATTGCACTGTAAATTAAATACATAGACTACGACATTGTAATTACTGTAATAGTGGAGACATTCTGCATACAGTGGCTTGCCTGACATGAATGGGGAGGTTGTTGGGTGTTAATGGGTTAATGCTGCAGGAACAAAATTTTATCACTAGCACTCAGACTAGGCACTTTTTTATGGGCCATTTGACACAGAAACACTAAAGTTTTGAGAGTACAACACGAGATGCTGCATGGGGTGACTCGTTGTACTGTGGGAAATGGCTTGCAAGCTAGCCACCATCGCCACCATCTGCTCACCGCGAATCATCGAAATCGTGAATCGCAAACTCGCGAATGGAAAGAGTCTACTGTATTCTGTCTCTTGTTTACAGAACGGTAACTCCTGATCAGTCCCGCTGACCTGCTCTCCCTAATAATGTTATCGGCACTCACCATCTCTCAGGCACCTCATTAATTTGACAAAAAAGGTGCTCAGGGTCACTCAAATTACCATAAAATCGGAACCAACTGATTTTGGAATATTGTGATATTATTTGACAATTTCCAAATATTTGTGCTAGATTATTCATTCGTTTTCTGTTCAGTTTTTGCGCCTTGCCTTAGCTTCCACAAAATAATTATTTATAATTACTATGCAAACGAATATTTTCTAAATGTACATACAGTAATAATAAAGTAAATAATACAGTAATAAAAGAATGTAAAAACTGCGAGGTGAACTGATGATGCGAGGGGTGAAGGGGCATGGCACGAGGTGACGTGACAAGGCACTTGCACAGCACACGCATTAACAACACTACTAAACCATTGTCTTATAACATTTCTGTTTCTAAAATCTATTTTAAAAATAATTGATACAAGATGGCTCTATTTGTCTACATTTGCACTTAGACAACTGATAGTGAATATACCAGGGCATATGGAGATGCATTATACACTACAATAATATTTGTTAAGTTCTGATAAATATGTTACAATATTATTTATTAAGTGCTCAAGATAGATACTGTGGTAAGCACCAACCCTCTTGAGCATTGACAACAATGGTGCTTTAGTGTTTCTATTTCAAATGGCCCATAAAAAACTGCCTAGTCTGAGTGCTAGTGGAGTGAAATGTAAAAAGCAGAAGTTCGTGATGACCCTGACAAAGAAAGTTGAATTATTAAATAAGTTAAAAGAGGGGATGAGTGCTGCCGATGCTGGTCAGTTGTTTGGTATAGGTATACAGAAGTGCACTAAGGTAGTATAAGTTGCTATTCGCGGTTTTGCCTATTCACGCCATTCCTTGGAACCTATCCCCTGCGAATACTATGGCGCAATAGTTCATATGGGATTTTAGGGGAAAATTAATTATATTTTGGTATTTTATTAATTCAGCCCCAAATTAGCCTAAATAATATGGGATTTCTAGTGAATTAGTTGGTCATTATAAAGGGATTGCTGGCTGCTGAGTGGGAGGTGGCGAGTTGTTCTCTCCTCAAACCTCCACTCCTCGGCTACACACCAAACCTAGTTTTGTACAGTACAGTACAATGGTCCCTCGGTTAACGAACACAATTCGTTCCACAGAGTCGTTCGTTAACTGAATCCCTTATTTCAATGGGATATTGGGTAATTGGCTCCAGCTCACAGAAAAGTACATACAAAGTAAAGCCAAAAACGCATAAAGTCAGAAACACTCCTAAAATTCCCCAAAATCGCCCTTAAATCACTACTGTACAGTGGTCCCTCGGTTAAGGAACACAATTCATTCCAGACGGTCGTTCGTTAACCGAAAATTTCGTTAACCGAAACCATTGTTTCAATGGGATTTTGGGTAATTGGTTCCAGCTCACCGAAAATTACATACAAACTAAAAATAAATGCAGTAAAGTACACTTAATTTGAGGTGTGCATGTAGAAGGCTCCTGGTTGATGATGATGATGATGGGAATTAGAATGGGGGTGGAGGAGAAGGGAGAAGAGAAGGCATTGGGGTGGAAGAGAAGTCACCCCATGCTGCCATTTCACCCATAAAATTTTAGTTCATTTGATATAATTCAAGATTATTTTCTTTAACTCAACACTGCACTGCATTATATATTGTCAATACAGTATGTAAAATAAACTTCAGAATGACCAATAATTCTACTGTAAAAACGTAAAAATGGTTGATGTTCAAGAGAGTCTCAAGCAAGATGCTTCCTCCACACTGCCGCCATTTTGGGTGAGTCAAGTGGCTGTTTGGCACGCTAAAAACTAGTTCCCAGTACAGTACTTCAATTATGTTAAATAATTGTTAAAATGACTAAAAACTTTAATACCCGGTATAAGACTTGGAAAATTATTGAATAGTACAACCTTCTTGATATTTACTCAAATGGTAACGAATTTATGCCCTAAAACCGATTACTGTATTGGCGGACTAATACTACAGCTGGTGAGCAGGCAAAAGCAGGTGAAAACATGTTGGGAAAAATTCGTAAGGAATTCGTTAACCGAAGTGAGGAATCTTATGGAAGGTAACTCGTTAACCGAGGTGTTCATTAACCGAGGGATCATTGTACAGTATATGTAACTATAATCACTTTTTACTTCTTACCACTGCTTTAACAAAATTGTACCAGGATATATCCTGGTACAATAATGTACAGTACTGCACAACACAAAGAGTATGTGAAAACAGCTTGTACATTGGCAGCAGACAATGAACTAAGAGTTTCATGACGCAAGAGTTGGAGGAGATAAGCTGCGAGATAAATCGGCCTATTACAGGCATCCTATGCAGTAGTAACCAATCGTAGCTCAAGAACACTCTTAGCTTACCTACCCATGTGCTCGGCGCATGATGCTATCTCTCAGAAATTTGTTCAAATGCCCGGAGCGGAAAGATTTTTCCCAGAATTTCTTGGAATGTTAAAAAAATTCCGGGTAATAGATAGTTCTGGAAATCGAAGATTCCAGCTAACGGAGAGAGTACTGTACATGTACAAGTAACCTTCACTATATGAATGGGTTAAGTTCCTTGGCAACTATTCATTAACCCTTTAGGTGCGTAATTAAATTTCGCGCCGGTTCCTGAAAAGTGTCAATTATCCTGCCAAAAATGAATTTCATATAATCACATTTTCTATGTTTTTCCTAGAGAACTTTTAGTATATTTTCCAAATCTGGAACAAAAATTCACATATGTGTGCAAATTTTAGAGAAAAAATGACATTTATACCCAAAAATGCAGGAAATTGGTATAAATCAATGTCTGGTATATGGCAAATAAATTTAATCAATTTGGTTACTAAACAGCAAATTTAGATATGTATTACATATTCAGATAATATCAAACAAAATAGTACAAAAATAAGCTATATTGCATTCAGGAAATACTCCTATACCTCAATACATAATATGTCCGCATGTCGTCTCATTTGGGGAAGTTTTTTCAAGGCCGTGGGATATCCCCGCTTGTCGCATTTAATTAATATAATATTTTGGGCGGGTTTACCCGCATGCCGCATCCAAAGGGTTAAGTGATAATTTGTATTCAGTGGTTCCTCGGTTCACGAACTCAATTCGTCCCAGAGGGTCGTTCGTTAACCAAAAATTTCGTTAACAGAAACCATTGTTTCAATGGGGTTTTGGGTAATTGGTTCCAGCTCACCGAAAATTACATACAAAGTAAAAAAAAATGCAGTAAAGTACACTTACTTTGAGGTGTGTATGTAGAAGGCTCCTGGTTGATGATGCTGATGTGAATTTGAAGTGGGAGGTGGAGGAGAAGGGAGAAGAGAAGGAAGTGGGGATGGAAGAGAAATCACCCCATGATTGATGCCGTCATTTCACCAATAAAATTTTAAGTTCACTAGGTGTAATTCAAGATTATTTTCTTTAAATCAACACTGCACTGCATTATATATTGTCAATATGTTAAATAAATTTCAGAATGACCAATAATTGTACTGTAAAAACGTAAAAATAGTTTATGTTCAAGAGAGCCACAAGCAAGATGTTACCTCCACTGAACAGAGACACAAACTGACGCCTTGGTGGGTGAGTGAAGTGGCTGATGGGCACACCAAAAACTAGTTCCCTGTACTGCAATTATGTTAAATAAGTGTTAAAATGACTAAAAATTTTAATATTAAACTTGGAAAAATATTTAATAGCACAACCTTCTTGATATTTACTCAAATGGGAACGAATTTAAGCCCTAGAACCGATTACTGTATTGGCGGACTAATCTACCAGCTGGTGAGCAAGCGAAAACATGTTGATATGTTTTCGTAAGAATTTCGTTAACCGAATTGAATATTCTTTTGGAAGGTTATTCGTTAACCGAGGCGTTCGTTAACCGAGGGACCACTGTACCTGTAGCAAATAACATAACAAATGGAAAAAATAGGGTTGTGTTTCCAATGACAAGAAAAACTCCAATATAATATCCAAAAAAAAATTAATTAGTTCACAAGCAAAAAAATCTAGAGTATAGTCTGGGTTTACGCGGTCAATTAAACCCGTAGAGGTCCGCATATAACGCGAAACGTGTAAACAAAATAACAGAACATATGGGATTAATTGAAATAGAGACTGGGCCGACCCCCAGACTACCCTTTTTCCGACACAATACGTACGTTGTAGTAAAAATAACATCTTAATTTTATGATGGTATGCACACACAATTAATATTTAAGAGAAATTTCAATAGTATTAGGTTTTTTAACACTTACGTTAGTAGAAGAGATGGCTGTGCACACGGGGATGGGGGGTTGGTTCCGAGGCAGAGGGCAGATTAATGGCCCTCACCTGTATCACTTGTATCGCTATCCACCACAGAGGCTAGCAGGGCCTCCTTGTCAAACCCCTCAAAGTCCATATCCTTACTATCACTGACTTGGGCTGGCTGTGGCTGTGGTTGGTTGCGGGTGAAGAACTCGGTAATGTTTCGTTGAGGGCTAGCATTGATGTGACAGTGATACAGCTTAACATAGGGCTCCAGGGATTGCAACTGATGGTTATTAGACACTTCGTAGCAATGCTTGAATGGGTCTTTGGTAAGGAGGAGCTTCAATCTCTCGGCTGCCTCGATGATTTCCTTCACATCAGCATGTGTTAGTTTCTGCACTTGTTCTTCCGCCGTAACACCTGGCTGCTCACTGACGTCATCATCTTCCAACATCTCGTCGGCAGTCACCTTAGGTTGCCTGATTACCTCCAGGATGTCGTCGTTGGTGGTCTCGGAGAAGCCTGCAGCTCTAACACTTTGTGCAGCCTCTCTTGCAATGTCCAATGCCACAGCAACAGACTGAGCCTCACCAGCCACCACTTGCCTCTGCCTCCTACTTGGGGCACCCTCCAACACATGCCGCCTCTTGTGACGAATCGTTGCCACAGATAGCTGGCCCCATGCCTCCACCAAGAAATCAACAGCTTTCTTGACGTTGAACAGTTTCCAGAACTGCTTGACTCGCACTTCATGGTCCGCCAAATTTTCTTCTAGATCCTTGTCCTCGCTCTCGCTATCGGTGCCACTCAGGAGGTTCTGCAATTCATCCTTGGTGTTGGTGAAGTCGTTCAGGAGCCGAAACTTCTTTGCGGAGAAAGCAGCCTTCACGTTGCATATCAACTCCTGATCCATGGGCTGGATTAACGACGTAGTGTTAGGGGGAAGGAAGACCACTTTTACGTTGAGGTAATGATCCAGCAATAGGCACGAGTGTCCTGGTGCGTTGTCAAGGAGCAACAAAATGTTGAATGGAACATTATGTTGCTCGCAGAATTTCTTCACATCAGGAACGAAACAGTTGTCAAACCAGGAGAGGGACAGACCAGTGAACACGCACGCCTTCCCTGAGGTTAGCCAGTGGACATTTAACTTGCTCATGTCCATATTTTTTTAGGCATGCGGCTCGCGGGCTGTGTGGATCAATGACAACTTCAGCATTGGTGGTGAACAGGACGGTGATGCGCTCCTTCTGCAACTTCCGGCCCCGACACTTGCTCGCAGACTTGACCACGAAGGTCTTGGATGGCAATTTTTTCCAAAACAACCCGGATTCATCCATGTTGAACACTTGGTCGTTGGTGTACTGTCCTTCCTCCATAATTTCTCGTAAGAATGGGGGAAATTTCATGGCGGCAGCCCGGTCAGCACTTGCTCCTTCACCAACTATTTCAACGTTCATGATCTTATTACGAAGTTTGAAACCTTTCAGCCACCCAGGAGAAGCAGTGAAGGGTTTGGTCTCTGCAACTCCCATTTTTTGCGCCACTGATAGGTAAAGTTCTCTCATGTAGTCCTGCACTGCCCGAGTGTCTACCGCCATGTTCCTTCTTGACTGACGAATCAAGTACCTGACCAATAAACCTTCAGTCTTGAGCAGCACCTTATTGTGGCAATATTTCATCATCGAGGCACCTGCAGACTTTGTGATGCTCATGTGTTTTTTGATCTTGCCGGCATCCTTCTTGATGGTGCGGATCATCGATTCACTCACTCCATTTTGTCGGGCGAGATCTACCTGCCTCGTGCTTTTCTCTAACCCCTGGACGATTTTGTACTTAATTTCATAGCTTAAGGCGTGTCGCACCTTCTTGGGCTTGGGTCAGGTAGTTCAAGGTTTTTTGCGGGTGGTGGGGGTCCAGCGGAAGCAATTTTTGAACAGATTAGCGGGCACGAGGGAGCACTGTATATGCGGAGACGGAGGAAAATGGGACTGACGCATCTAAGGTCAGCGACTTATTCCTTCTGGTGGCAGGGCACTCTAAGTTAAATTACAGTAGACCAATCACAGCTCGCGGCGGAGGGGATGCGTAGGTGGTAAGGATGCGTGGCTCAATCGCAATCTGAAACGTCATCGTCACGAGTTTGACATCAGCGGTGACGTAAGAGCGACCTAGCGCGCAGCTTGCCCGCGCCGCTTCTCACGTAAATTCAGGAATGTACCGCGTAACTAATAATTGGCGTGTCTGGACAGGTGCCGAGTAAATGACCAATCGCGTATAAAAAATTAGCGTAAACCGAGACTATACTGTACTTAAACACTGTAAATCACAACCAACTGTTGTAATTTAGTACCTGACACATATAAAAATTAATAAGATATAAATCTGGTACATTACCTTAACATGTGCCCATGTTGTGCATGGTAAGGTCACTGCACTAAGTTTCCATCTGAAAGTGATAGGTTAAATCATGAGGGTAGTATAGAACAAGATGATGGCAGCTTGTTGTAGTACAGTATACTGTACTTTACACATAGTTCTTGATTATCATGTTAAAACTTAAGATGATCCAACATATAGCATGGAGGTATTCACTCTGAAGTAGGAAGTAGTGTAACAGATGTAAGATTCACAGAGAATGAAGCATAGATGTTACCAGTACATTATAAGTGATGGATGTGTACTTATTTTCAACAGTACTCTTTCATCTTTTCCTTGAAGGATAACCTTTTCTAATTATTTAACTTTTTTATCAAATTATTAGTTAGTTATTATAATTTTGTTCTCCCTAAGCAGTCATCTTTTCTTACCAGAACAACTCTTTGATGTTTCAGAATTTGACCAGTGATTTTCGTATCACATACAGCAAGTTCTGGTTAAGTATACTTAATGCAGATCTCAAAGCGATTCAGCGTTATGGAGACCAGTTGGGTGTTGGGGAACTGTTTGGTTTATTTGCTTGCATGGTGACTGGTCGGTCCTGGGACTCTATATCTAAGGGGATTGATAAGAAAGAGCGATCGTCAGCAGAGGTAAGTATTATACTGCACTACTGTGTTTAGTGCCAATTACACATTAAAAGCTAATTTTGTGCTCAGATGGGGAGGGTAACTTTATCTCTGCTCATCTTAGTAAATATATCATAGGGTTTTACCCAAATCATATCACCAAGTAAACAGTTATGTGATTAATTATACCTGTAGATAATAATTGTAATTGCACAGTGCCTTCTCACACAGATGTTTGAGTTTCATTATGAAATTGTGTTAAGAGAAATCAATACAGTCTTGATAAAATTAACTTTGTATAGGAAACACTTGGTTAGGTTTGGGTACTTTGAAAACACAATTCCCTCAGAGTGGTTTTCCTGTGTTGTGTAACTTCTATCAGTTCAAATTGACTTGCTTTAAATATTTTGAATAATAAGTCTTTGGTATGGGGATGCCAAGGTCAATAGATTTGACAATATCACTTGCCTAAACTGGTTTTTTTTTTTTTTTTTTTTTTAACTGTTGAAAAGATGTACAATCCTACCCTCATTGCAGGTAAAGAAAAATGCTTTGAATTGTAGGTAACCAATGACATTCAGTATTGAGTTGAGGTTTGTACTAAAAAAGTAAATTCATCTCCTAAGCTTAATGTAGAAGGTAATGGGTTGTGGTGGTGGTCAGATGTTGTGTGTGACGGGTTGTTGTGGTCCCATAAAGATGTGTATGATCCCAACCACATGATTAGTTATTAATTTTCAAAGAATATTTGTAAAGTTAGGTACAGTAGACTTTTACAATCAGTCTACAAGCAAGTAATTTCAGCTCATAAATACTGTGGGTACCATCATTTCTCCCTTCAGCTTATGGCTGACTCAGATGGTTCACATATTTTAAAATTAAAGATGGACTTGGAAACCAATAAGGCAGACTGTAGCTCTGGCACAAAATGTGCTGATTGGACAGATTCAGTTTTAATAAACACATTCCTGTATACATTATTTTGGGAACTTAGCATTTTCCTTTATCTTGGATCCAATTCTGAATGGCTTCATTATGGAGCTTAATTTTCACTTCATTTTTGCAGTTCTGATGTTACTTGTTTTAGAATAAAATTTCCCTATAATAAACAATTTGGCCTTGCAGTGTTCTGGACTTGTATGTTTCAGGTAATTTGGTGTACTACTGTAAAGGGGTGTTGAGCCACAACAAATATTCATTGGGTATATATATAAAGCATGGACTCTGGCTGTGAAGGGAAGGAACATATAGGAAGCCACAGAAATAATTTGCTTGAGCAAAATGTATTTAGTGTACAGTATAGATTATTGAGAATAAGGCATACAGTAATAAGGATGAAATATGGTTGCAAAGGAAGTATCAGACGGAGTGGATCAATGTTCTTCGGATTGTATAGACATCACTGAGGAGGAGAAATGAGGGATTTGCAAAATCTGTGTACATTAAGCCCTTGCTATTCACGAGGGTTTGGTTCCAAGGAATGGCGCGAATTGACAAAACCGCAAATAGCAACTTATACTACCTAAGTGCATTAATGTATGCCTATACTGTGTATGAGAAACATGTATCATCAATACTACTTACCTTCGTATGTGGAAGTTGGAAGCTTGATGAAGTGGTGTACTGTACATAAGGAGAAATCTGGTTACTGAAGCATAGGGAGATTATCAAAATCACTGTTGGAAGAGGGTGATGCAATGGTGGTTGGAGAGGCACGTGGCCGGGAGGTGGGTGGTGAGGTGACAGGTGGCTGGGAGGAGGGTGGTGGTGCAGCTGCAGCAGCAGCAGCTGCTGACTGAGTGAGGGAGGGAGACAAATCAGCTGAATGAGCGGCTGGTTCTTTCTTGAAAAACATTGTGATTGGTAGTTGTTTCCTCTTGGCTTTGAGGTCTTTAAACATTACCTGTTAGGGAACCAATGCCTGGCTGTTTTCTCAGAACAAGCAATTGACCATCTATGGCAGCACTCATCCTCTCCTTAATTTGTCTAATAATTCAACTTTCTTTGTCAGGGTCATCACTGATGTCTGCCTTTTACATTTCACTCCACTAGCAACACTAGCACTGACACTAGGCAGTCTTTTAGGTGCCATATGACACAGAAACACTAAAGTTTTAAGAGTACAACACAAGAGATGCTGCGTCGCAGGCAATGGTTGAGCGCAAAGAGAGGGAGAGGAGATGCTGTGGGCACGTGGGGTGACTCGTTGCACTGCAGGAAAGACTCGCAAGCTAGTTACCATCCCCTCTATCTGCTTACCACAAATCGTCAAAATTGCAAATTGCAAGGGTTTACTGTACAGGTGGAAGAAAAAGACCAGGGAGATAAAAAGATTGGGTGAAGAACACACTATAAGTGATGGGGCTTGGAAATTCAGGGGGCTGCAGTGTACATGAATGAGCAGAAAGCTTGGTATCTAGTAATTTCTGGAGAAGGAATGGTGTTACTTAGAGTATGAAGCAGGAGTAAACCAGAGTGATTTTTTGGGCCTTGTTATAGTGAGAGAAAGTCAACATAGAACAGTAATGTGTGTGTATATGTGCTATAGATTGCAATGAAACATGGGCAGTTAAAGAGAATGATATACTTGTGCTTGAATGAGTTGAAATGACAGGAGGGTATTGAGAGTATTGACAAGGTTTTGCATAAGGTAGTCTGGGGTGGTGCAGGTATGTGGAGAGAATGGAGGAGACCAATTGGGTCCAGAAATGGAGGCATTTCAATGTGGAGGGAAGGGTAGGTTAAGAATGACATGGGGAAAAATTGTAAGAAATTACCTCTGAGATAAGAACTTGACGAGAAAATGAAAAAGCCTATGTAGCATAGAGCTGCCATCAGGTGATTACAGTTTATCCATCCAAGCATGGAAACTGGTCATAAAACAGTGATGAAAGACTTGCATGAGTAGGAGAAAAAAGTGCCCAGTACAAATTCTATACTATCCTGATGTTACAGCAAGATGCAATCAAAGCTGATGCAGCCAAGTATCTGCCAGAGATATCTGCTGTGCTGAATAGAGTTCCTCGTCAAATGCTTCTCATCCTTAAGACAAATGATCTGCTTAGGGGGATTGAGTTCTCCCTTAATACTCAAGAGAGGTAAGTTAGCTTTATATTTGTTGCTGTTGTATCTCCAGTAAATGTTATGTGTACACTCTAGGACTATAAGTTGTTGCTGCATGGAGCCTACTCTAGTGACTTTTGGCAGTGAAGTAAATCATAAGTGAAAACTGATGATCTAAATACAGTGACCCCTCCGTTAACGAACTCAATCCGTTCCAGAAGGTCGTTCGTTAACCGAAAAGTTTGTTAACCGAAACCATTGTTTCAATGGGTTTTTGGGTAATTGGTTCCAGCTCACCGAAAATTTCCTAAATTCAACAAAAATGGTAGAAAAGTACACTTACTTTGAGGTGTGTATGTAGAAGGCTCCTGGATGATGATGATGATGATTATGATGATGATGATGGGATTTAGAATGGGGGTGGAGGAGAAGGAAGAAGAGAAGGCATTGGGGTGGAAGAGAAGTCACCCCATGGCGCCATTTCACCCATAAAATTTTAGCTCTCTTGGTGTAATTCAAGATTATTTTCTTTAAATCAACACTGCACTGCATTATATATTGTCAATATGTAAAATATATTTCAAAATGACCAATAATTTGCTTGGAAACACAGAAAAAAAGCATTTGGTTGAAGAGAGTCTCAAGCAAGATGTTACCTCCAGTGAAAACAGAGAAAGACTAACGCCTGTTTGCTGTGTTAAGAGGCTGGATGCCGCGCATTAAACTAGTCACTTTACCTTCAATTATGTTCAATAATTGTTAAAATGACTAAAAAAATTGAATATTAAACTTTTAAAATTATTGAATAGTATAAACTTCTTGATATTTACTAAAATAGTAAGGAATTTAAGCCCTAGAACCGATTAATGTATTGGCGGAATGATACTAAAGCTGGTTGCCCGGTCAGTGCAAGCGAAAACATGTTGAGGTCGGTTCGTAAGAACTTCGTTAACCGAATTTTTTTTCGTTAACCGAATTGAAGATCCTTATGGAAGGCAGTTCGTTAATCGAAATTACGTTAACTGAGGTGTTCGTTAAACGAGGGGTCACTGTAATAATAATAAAAAAAAATTTTTTAAATCTAAATTAAGATATAATAACAAAATTATGTTTAAAAATAAAAATTAAGATAAAGTAAAATACTGTTTTAAAAATCACTTGCAGTTAAGTACCCTTATTGCAGTTAAAAAATTTTCTCATTGCCAGAGGTAGGTTCCGTTCACCTATCCATGACTCTTTGTCCTAGAGTGTACATGAATGCCAGAAGAAACTTTTTGAGTGTTTGAGAATCTGTTAGTCATTTTAGGGAGTGTTTAAAGTATTGGTGGATATATCTAACAGATGAATATACTTTTTAAGTACGGTACCGTATAGTAGAACTTTAACCCCTGTTCCCCGGGCTAGGGTGCCGCTGGTCGTACCCCCACGCCCCGGGCTAGGGTGCCGCTGGCCGTACCCCCACGCCCCGGGCTAGGGTGCCGCTGGTCATACCCCCACGCCCCGGGCTAGGGTGCCGCTGGTCGTACCCCCACGCCCCGGGCTAGGGTGCCGCTGGTCGTACCCCCACGCGGGGTAAATCGAGAAAAATCAATTTTTCCTAATTTTTTTTTAACCTTTTTAAATGACAAAACAATAAAAAGTAAGAAAAACTATATACATTGACCCTCGAGAAACTTCCCTGGGGCCACAGTGGCGGGATAATGGCAGCACGGAGGGAGGGAGATAAGGTGACAGCGTTGTTTTGATGGCGAGCGCTCGTGGTCACGTACGTCCTTCGCGGCCATTTTCTGCTTGCTTTTGTGTCCGGGATGGCCAGTATTGTATATATTTACTGATCATAATAATACTTACCGGGTGTTTCTTATAAATAATTCATTTATAATATTTTATTTGCAATATTTTTCATAAAAAGTTCTTGGCAACACACACAGTCGGTTGCCAGGCTGTCTGGCTGTCTTTGTGATTGGTAGAGCAAGTAATGCATAGAAATAATTATCGGAAGAAACAAAAGTAGGTACAGGGTGTCCTCGCTTAACATCGGGGTTATGTTCCCGAAAACGTGACCGTATGCGAAACAAAGTTAAGCGGATCAATTTTCCCCATAAGAAATAGATAAAATACGGGAGATACGTTCCCAGCCTCCCTTTGCCCCATGAAAAAAGTTACATACAGTATACAGAAAATCATTGCCATTTCTATAGAAAATAATTCATAGAACTACAGTACTAAGTTTGTATTGGTACTAACCTATGGGTGGAGGTGGTAGAGCGAGTGTGTGGTGGGTAGTGGAGTGAAGGAGGAGGAGGATGGTGGGTGCGGATGAGGAGGGTGGGAGCGGAGGAGGGCAGGAGCAGAGGAGGGCGGGAGCGGAGGAGGGTGACGAGTCACTGAGACTCTGTGGCTGCCTCCTCCTCCTCTGACTGGGGTTCCTCCGCCGCTGTTTGCTCCTCCGTTGTTGACGGGAATGTCTCAACAGCAACCGTATCTGAACTGGCAGCTTCACCAGTCATCTTTATGTTGTTGAAGTTATACCGACGCTTAAATCGTTGAAACCAGCTTCGGCTGGCCGTAAAGGTCTCTTCCTTCGATCCTTCACCCTCTGTTTCCTTCATGTCGTCAAACAAGGATCTGGCCTTATGCTGGATAACCATAAGGCTCACAGGTCCTCCATCCACATTGCCAGCATCTTTTCCACGTTCTCTATCACAGTGCTTCGAGTACGAGTCGTCTTGGTATCACTCAGAGAAGAACCACTTCCAGCACTAACCTTAATCTTGTCAGCGTTGGTCCGTATAGTATGCACCGTTGTGGGAGTTAGACCAAGCACAGCGGCTGTGTCCACAGCACGTTCCCATTTTTCAAATCGGGTTAATACATCCATTTTCGTAGCAAGGGTAATGGTCTTATGTTGCCTCTTCACTACACTACTATCAGTAGCACTTGATGGGTGCTTGGAAGCCATTTCGAATGGTTAGTGTACAGTTTTAGAGCAAAAACACTTAAGCACACACGAATGATGTGAAGTTGTAACAGTCTCGCTTGGGGACGCTGTCACGTTCAGCGAGTGAGGGCAGCGCGCCGAACTGAGAGAGCGTAGCACGGCCAGACAAGAGCGGGTGATGCGCCGTAGAAGGTAGTCCGTGACGACACAAAACGACATTGTATCGGATCACCGGAATGTTAAACGACTTTTTGGTCTCTAAAGTTCTGCGACATAGTACCGAAACAACTTTAAGCAAGACGACGTGAAGCGAGGACTTACTGTACTTACATTTCAGAAGCTTCCCTGTGGCCGAGCATGTGGCGTGACACGCAAATAGTCACACTGAAACCTGATAACCCGCACTGAGCATTCAAACAAGGCCGCGAAAAGGCATGTATTGTTTCTTAGATCCTTTAGTATTTAATCTATTGTATTTACCGGTACACTTGTATTCAGAATTATTGTATTTTAAGGGATAATGTACTGTAGGCCCTCTAAATTCGGGGGGATTAAGTTTTCAAAATGGCCGCGAATCGCCAAATCCATGAATAGCATTTGCTGACCAAGGGGTTGGGGTACATTTTCACTTGTGTGCAAAGAAATGTATATTCCCTTTATATGTTTGCCCTTAGGACAATTATTTATTTTACCTGTATTGTATAATAATAATAATAATAATAATAATAATAATAATAATTAACGGTTTATTGAAATAGTTCTGCAGCCCCCAAAGGCTTAAAATATACATTAGACAAAAATGACTTATCACTTACAAAGACATGGAGTAGGTGGGTTGTTTAACAAAAGCTTTCATTACCAAAAGGAGAAGGAACATGAATTGAACATACAAATTATTATAGTTTGCAGTTGATGGCCCGGGCTGGTCTCTTGGCCTACTGTGTGAGGTCACGTCGGCCACATGGTTCAGTAACTCGTCCGTAGATATTGACATGAAGGACCTCATGTGGTCATGGAGACTTCGGGTGGTGTGGTGTTCACGTGGTACTGTGACTTGTCCTCGTGTGTTGATATGAAGGACCTCATGTGGTCATGGAGACTTCGGGTGGTGTGGTGTTCACGTGGTACAGTGACTTGTCCTCGAGTGTTGATATGAAGGACCTCACGTGGTCATAGAGACATCGTGTGGTGTAGGGTGGTGTCACAGTACCTCACTCTCTGCTAGGTGGTGTTGTGTTATCTTGTAGTCAGGTGTAAAGCCGACCCACTGTTGTTTTCAGGGAAGACTGATTAACACCGCCTGGTCAGAAGATGGTGGTCGGCTCCCAGGGGTGTTTATCTCACTGGTAGGTCACTGCTCTCGCTGGTACTGTCTAGTGCTGAATTCACTGGCTTAAACACTGTTCATCACTGTTCAACACTGATCCCATTTCTTTCCAAAACAAAATTGTCACTTCTGATTATGTTGATATCCCGGTGGTGAGGATGGGTCGGGGAGAGGGACTTGAGGAATGGACTGAACATGGCCAAGGGGGGCCACTGCACAGCAGGAGCAGTGCCTGATAGGTCTTGACTCTCCTGTGTTCAAGGATGTGTGTGTGTGTGTAGACACATGCAAAACACATACAAATAAATAATAATGCGAAAATCCTCTCACCAATAATGAGAAACAAATGTAAAGTGTATACAGTTGGGTCTCACTTTATGCGGTTAATGTAACCCACAGGGTACCGCGGAAAGTGAGAAACGCGTAAAGTGAATAACATAACATATGGGATTAAATGAAATAGAGACCGGCTGACCCCCAAACTCCACTTTTTACAACACAATACCTATGTTCTAGTAAAAATAACCTCTTAATTTTATGATGGTACATGCACACAATTAATACTTAAGAGAAATAGAGAAATACAGTCGCCAAGTTAATGTCCATTCAAATAATGGACTCGACTCCCTCCCCCTCTTCTCACACTACACTCGCTGGCTCTTCCCTCTGAGAAATTTTGGGGGATAAACCACTACATTTTAAGGTATAGTAATAAATAATACCTCAAACTAAAGTTAGGATAATGTAATTGACATTGCTGGATTCCTTGTAAGACCAGGAATATTTTGAATATAAATGTCATATATTTTGCACAAAAGATAACAATTTACTCAGAGTAAACATTAGATCTAAAATTTGTATGTCTAATGCAAAATCTATGATGTTTATATTCAAAATGATCATCAAATTGTAAGAATTCCAGCAATGTAAATTATATTCTGGCCGGGTAATTTGTATGAATTTTATGGGCTAAAACAAATATCTTCAGTTATTAAAAAAAAAAGATATTCTTCACACCGTGCCAGATGGTCGGTCGGTCCCTCCCTCCCTACCAGATAAATGCGTGGGAAAACCAGACTATTTACCTTTTTAGTAATAAATAATACCTCAGACTAAAGTTAGGATAATATAATTGACATTGCTGGATTCCTTGTAAGACCAGGAATATTTTGAATATAAATGTCATATATTTTGCACAAAAGATAACATATTTACTCAGAGTAAACATTAGATCTAAAATTTGTATGTTTAATGCAAAATCTATGATGTTTATATTCAAAATGATCATCAAATTGTAAGAATTCCAGCAATGTAAATTATATTCTGGCCGGGTAATTTGTATGAATTTTATGAGCTAAATAAAAAAATTATACTTCACCGGCGTAAAGGGGTACACGCACTGCGGAATGTGAGCATCCTGGGTTCTGGCAGGGCACCGCGTAAACGTGGAAACGCGGAATGTGGGACCTCGTAAAGTGAGGGTTGACTGTATAAAAAAAAAAATGTTAGTCTACCCTCAGGTCCACTCCGTGCTTTATTAATAAGAAAGCACGGAGTGGACTTTAGGGTAGACTCAACATTATTAATATACATTTGTTTCTGATTATTTGTGAGAGGATTTTCCCATTATTATTTGTTTGTATGTGTCTACACACACACACACACACACACACATATACAATAACAGGTAAAGGAAATTACTGTCTCTAGAACGAATGTCTCCCTGTCCCGGTCGCGAAAATTCCGGCAACTTTAAAACTACCCATAGACATTCTTGGGTACATCCAGGGTGTCATCCGCGAATAATAGAGGGCCGCGGAATAAAAATCTGTGAATTATCCGGGCGTACTGTTTAACTATTCTTTATTGATCTGTGATAATTTCCACACTTGAGAAGCAAATATTAGCTCATCAAACACTGGTAACATAAATATCTTATAGAAAACACGAACATGAGGAACAATTTCTGAGATGTAAATCCCGTCATGCCACTTGATGTCACGCAGCACAGTGGAGGATGTCGCTGAAAATTTGTGATCTTTTTCTTGTTCTCTTCTAGACATTTAAGTTACCAGAGTGTTTCACAAGCTAATTTATGCTTCCCCTAGCTGCAGAAATGATCAAAAGATCAATATAAAATAGTTATTAGTCCTTATAATATCAGAATATAAATTCTGTACGATAGCTTAAAATACTTACGAAAGAACTGTAGTGACTCTTCGTGTGTCCATCCGACAGCCAATCAGCTGCCTTGCTACAAATTGACTCTAGGTCTCAGTTGCAAAGTTTGAGGGAACAGACTATGGAATGTGAATATTCAGAGTCAAGGTAGACACAATCTTTCCATTTATATTTTGGTCAACACACTCAGTCACTCTTTTTATATCAGATAGTGTCATTGAAATTTCTGCTAATCATTTAAATAAACTTCATTTTAGAGTTCCACACCTAGGAACTAAAGTGTCTGACCTGTGGTTAGTCACAACCTGTTCAGAAAATAGTAATACAGTACTGTACAATGAACCCCCCCCCCCTGGATCTGCCAGTGCCCCTCAGCAATACAAAGTAATTTGCTGTATTTAATGAACCATGATAAACTTGGCTGTGATATAACACTTTTTTGCCATAGATGACTGTTACTGTACTTTTGTCAAGTTTGTTGTAGTAGACGCTCTCATTCTTCAGGAAATGTTGAGCTTGTAGTTGTTTTATATCCTATTTGTATGCAGTTATGTGTGTTGTGCACATTTTCCTTGTTTTTAATACATATCCCTCTTCATTTTTCAGTATGAAATCATTTATCACGATGTCACGATGTTGCATACGTTCGCTGTTTGCTCACCAGAGGATACTTTGTAATTCTACTCTTTGTTCTGTGAGAGTGAGTGTTGCAGAGACTTGGGCACAGTTTAAGATCTCTTTGTACACACTGTACCTTCTATATCTTAGGTCAAAACTAGGTAAATACATCCACAAAACCTGGATGACCAATAATGGTGCTGTTACTGCAAGTTGTTTGTAGAATATGTTACATTTAGTACAGTATTTGAATTACATGTATTGGCATTATGGAAACGTTATAATTACAGCTTATTCATATTTTCTATTTCATTATAGTGCTGATATTATGCTTATTGAGATTATTTTAGAGTAATAATTGTACTTAAATAAAAAATTTGATAATTTCTCAGCACAATTATTTTGTATCAAGTTCATATTTAGTTATCATATATCAGGTACGGTATTTTACTCTGTTTTCACACTTGCTTGCCTAAAAGAGATACCGTACTTCATTAATATTTTCAATATACTTTTTCAGCACTCACACAGGTAAATGTTGGTCCTTCACATGATTAGTGAACAAGTGTGTAAGAGATGTTCAGTCTCATGACATTAACACACTAAATGGGAACTTTCTGTGAATGTTACTAAACTGAAGACTCTTCATGCTGTTTGTGTAGTAGGTTGAGATACATGCTTGGACGACCATAGTGAAATCTTAAGTAAATTTATTTTCTGATACGATATGTCATAAGTATGTCTAAGCTACACAACCAATTTTTTGGCACGGTTACATTAGAGGTACTGTACGATATTTCAAATTGCATTAATGCATTTATTTTCGATAGATTATTAGCTGAATTTCAGGGAATTTTTTTTTATTCATCTGTGGACTTCATGTAGGAAAAAAAAATTTCTTTTTTTAGCTTTGTACATTTTTCTATATTCAGTGTTGTCTATATTCAGTTTTAAACAATAACACCATGCAAGGTGTGTATTTGGGTGTTTGTGGTATCTCTTAGGTATAAGGCTAGTGAGTAACTGAGTATGATAAACCTTTTGTTAAAATCTATTTTGATGAAACTAAGTAGGTATATCATATGTTTAAACATGTGACATATGGATGGGTTGCACTCGAGCAGAACAAATTACATTGCATGGTAGGGATTGATGGTCGAGACAAGATCTCTTGTAAGTAAAGTATTTTTAATTTATGAATTTTTTTTCTTTTATGTTGTCACAGGTAAATTTAGTATTTTGTTTTCGTTTGCCATTATATAACATACATCAGGGTTAAATAGTTAAATTAATATATATTTTGTGCACGTAGCAGCCTTCATACAACATCTGTACATTAGGGTTAAGTAGGTAAATTAGAACATCCTGTTTATAAGTAACATAAAGTGAGTATCAGTCACACACTGAAGAAAACAGCACAAGTGTTAAGGTGACACACTCCAGTTCCTCATAAGTAAGATTAATATGATGAATAGGATCAGTTTTTTTACAGTTATCCTTCTAGATACGAAAATTCACTTATGCGAATTTTCTAAATTGACACCACTATTTCGTACAGTATTACAGTGGCCCCTCGGTTAACGAACTCAATCCGTTCCAGAAGGTCGTTCGTTAACCGAAACGTTCGTTAACCGAAACCATTGTTTCAATGGGTTTTTGGGTAATTGGTTCCAGCTCACCGAAAATTTCCTAAATTCAACAAAAATGGTAGAAAAGTTCACTTACTTTGAGGTGTGTATGTAGAAGGCTCCTGGATGATGATGATGATGATGGGATTTAGAATGGGGGTGGAGGAGAAGGAAGAAGAGAAGGCATTGGGGTGGAAGAGAAGTCACCCCATGGTGCCATTTCACCCATAAAATTTTAGCTCTCTGGTTTAATTCAAGATTATTTTCTTTAAATCAATGCTGCACTGCATTATATATTGTCAATATATAAAATATATTTCAAAATGACCAATAATTTGCTTGGAAACACAGAAAAAAAGCATTTAGTTGAAGAGAGTCTCAAGCAAGATGTTACCTCCAGTGAAAACAGAGAGAGACTGACGCCTGTTTGCTGTGTTAAGAGGCTGGATGCCGCGCATTAAACTAGTCACTTTACCTTCAATTTCGTTCAATAATTGTTAAAATGACTAAAAAATTGAATATTAAACTTTTAAAATTATTGAATAGTATAAACTTCTTGATATTTACAAAAATAGTAAGGAATTTAAGCCCTAGAACCGATTAATGTATTGGCGGACTAATACTAAAGCTGGTTGCCTGGTCAGTGCAAGCGAAAACATGTTGAGGTTGGTTCGTAAGAAGTTCGTTAAGCGAATTTTTTTTCGTTAACCGAATTGAAGATCCTTATGGAAGGCAGTTCGTTAATCGAAATTACGTTAACCGAGGTGTTCGTTAAACGAGGGGTCACTGTACAAACGTTTTCCTTACTTATATGAATTTGGGTCTCGGAAAAAATTAAAATCACACGACCCCAGGAGTCACCTGGGGCGGCCTCTTCCCCCTAACGCTGTAATATTGAAATGATAGCATGACCCAAAAATGTTATTGAAAATTTATTTTTATTTTTTTGTATTCTTAGAAGCCTCAATCTCAACTACAGGAAGTCCTCGCTTAACGTCGTGGTTACCTTCTTGAAAAACACAACATTAATGGAAACAATGTTAATGGAATCAATCTTCCCCATAAGAAATAGATAAAATGAGCTAGTTACGTTCCCCAGCCTCCCCTTGCCCCGTAAAATTCATTACACATACATAATTCAATGGAATTTTTATAGAAAATATTACTATTATACTGTACATCCAAAAATATAAATAAACTAAACTAATGTTTAATTAAAAAGATAATACTATCATTTTGTATCGTACTCACTGATGGGCAGAGGTGGAGCGAGAGTGTGGTGGGTAGTGGAGAGGAGGAGGGTGGCGCGTTACAGAGACCTGGAGCGGCTCCCCTTCCCACAATGACTGGGGTTCCCCCCTTGGCCCCTGTTAGCTCCTCACTAGCATCACTAACACTTGATGGGAGCCACTTTGAATGGTTACAATACAGTATTTAGAGCAAAAACCCTTAAACACGCATTATGCTGTGGAAGCTTAACAAAGACTGGAGAGAAAACGTTTGGGGATGCTGTGACGCTCCGCGAGAGAGCGCAGCGCGCCAAGATGAGAGAAGGTGGCACACCATACAAAGTAGTCCATGTTGGGTGACAACGTTACAACGAATCGGTCAGATTGTAAAACAACGTTGTCGGAATCATGGTTATCTAAAGAGTAGCAACGTTATAACAAAACAACGTTGTCTGGGATAACGTTGAGCGAGGACTGGGTGTATCAGTGCTGTTAAGATTCCTATCTTAACTTTTGAAAAAGTGTGTTTAAGACAGCAGATTAGTGGCCAGTCTTGGTTGCAGGTGAAATGGGCCCCAGCCCTTCATGGTCCAACCTCATCTCACCATTAGGATTAGGTACTTAAAGAACTTTGGCCCTTAGAATTGGGAGCTAAAGCTATTGGTGAAGTTAGGCTAGTTCTATTTGACCTGACACCATCAGGCTTTACCTCAAATTTGGCTACTCGAAAAGTTAAGAATGTCTGATTGGTGGAGATTTCTGTATGCAGTATCATGTAGCATGCTTATGCAAAGGAAAATTTTACTTACACAGTAATGTACAGTATCTAAATTCATGATGAATTATTATTGAATCTTGACAGGTCTTCATTACAATTGTACTGTAGTTCCACTTTGCTCAACCAGAGGTTGCCGGTGTGGATTTATGTGAGGACAATATACTACGTTACTTAAAAAGACTTGTAAGAAATCTTTGCTAATTCTCAATTTAACAATTTGATACTCAGGTGTGTAGTCAACTGGGAGGAATGTGAATTCATGATTGCTTTATTTCATTATTGTTATTTATTTATTTTCTGTTGTAAAGTCTATCAAAATATAATATTTTATAAATCTAGTACTGTTACTGTGTATGTAAGTGTAATTAGGATCAAGCATGGTGCTGGTGAGATAATACTTTGACGGACTGTGGAATTGTTCAGATCAGCTTCCCATTTGAGCAAGTTGGGGTTGTAGCGATTTATAAAACATTTTGAACCAAATGCATGAAGTATACTTAAACAGATGGTATTTACCGTCTTCTTTCATTTGTGTAGATAATGTTCCAAGTGAATTTGTTTTGTGTTTTGTGAAATGTGTCTGTAAATTTTGTTACAAATTGTAAATTTCTCAAGAATTCTTGACTGGAAATGTATAGTAATTTATAATTGTTCATAACGTGTGGTGGGTATTGTTGAGATGTTATATTTGTTATTAAAATGCAAATGTATTTTACCTGTTTCCTTTTAACGTTGCTACCCATGAGAGGCTAAGTAAAAAAAAGAATATTATTTTTAAAATTAAAATACAATACATCTAGTAAGCCACTTGGAGAAAATACAGTAGTCCCTCGTCAACCGTGGGGGTTAAGTTCCTGAGAAACCCCTTCATTGGCAAAACTAAAGGCTTATGGGAAATAGGGGTTAGGTGCCATGGCTGTGGATAACACTCATCAAAGCCTAAGTTGCCTGTTACTTTACTAAACAGTACCTCTACATATAAAATAACTTAATATAAATTAAATACAGGAGTAATATAAATTTTACATTCCATCTCCATAGAGATGGAATATTGCTATAAAATATGAAATTTGAAGAGCATGAGTGTGTATGTGTGTGTAAAGTGAACGTACAGTGTGTGTATGAGGGGACTTAGAAGGTCACCAAGTTAGATTGTCCCTGTAGCTACATTCCCCTAGCGCTCTCCTTATCAGGCCAAGCTGTGTTGTTGCTACTTTTTCAACTCATATTTGTTGATAGATACAGTACAGTATATATGTAATTTTATTAATTTTTTTTACACTGTTACATGCACACACACAATTGTTCATACAGAATGTATAAAAATAATATAAGAAATTATTATCATAAGGTTAAAAACATAGAGAATAAACATTTCTTACGTCTATGGGAGATAATGTTGGATCATGGGAGGGGGAGCGTGAAGGTTGTGGTGTCGAGGATTTCCACCTCTCCCTACCAGGCCAAAGAGAGCTGCGTTATTATTCCTTTTCAACTCTTACTTTTAGGTAGTATATTAATATTTTATTTATTTATTTTTTTTATTTTTTTTTTTGCTCTTACATGTTCACACAATGGTTTATACAGAATGTAGGAAACCAATATAAAATAAATGATTATCATAAGGTAAAAAACAAAGAGAATACAGTATTACCCCGCTTTACGCGGTTTCACTTTCCACGATTTCTCATTTACGCGGTGCCTCGCCAGAACCGAACTTTCACTTTCCGCGATTTCTCATTTACGCGGTGCCTCGCCAGAACCGAACTTTCACTTTCCGCGGTTCATCTACCCATATACGCGCAGAGTGTCTGGCTCGACGCTATTTTTAGATTCGCCCCTCCCGCCTGCTCCTGCCTCCGCCTGGGCAAGCCGCGCGGTAAGGTTGCGCAGTGCATGTCTCTGTTGCGTTATCAGTGACGTCATATGACGTATCGGACTGTGATTGGCCATGCATCCCTACCTCCCTCCGCTGCTAGCTGTAATTGGTTTAAAGTAATATGACGTGTCCACCCGCGGGAGGGAGGGAGGAAAGACGACGCTTGACCTAACCGCGGCAGTTTCATCCCTCCAGGCCACACCGTGTATACGTGCATCCATTGTTCTGTGAAATGGCTTCCGCTGGACCACCGCCACCAGAGAGAAACCTTTCCTTACCTGGACCCAGCCGCCCTAAGCCAAAGAAGATATGCCGTTCCCTAAGCT